AACAGTGGGGGCCAGCGGTCACCTGTAGGCAGAGGGATGGGGGACAGTGGGTGCCAGCAGTCACCCGTAGGCAGAGGGATGGGGGACAGTGGGCGCCAGCAGCCACCCGTAGGCAGAGGGATGGGGGACAGTGGGCGATGTAATTAGTCACCTGTAGGCAGGATGTGTCAGCAATCAGAAGGGTGTTGGGGTACAGTGAGTGTCACCAGTATGTTGGGGTACAGAGGGTACGAGCAGGCATGATGTTAGGGTACAGCGTGTTTCTCAGCAATCACCCAAGAAGAGTGTTGGGGTGCAGGGAGTGTCACTCACCGGTCAGCAGGACGTTGGGGCTTCTCATTCTCACTCTTCTCTCCCGATCTCCCTTGACACGTGTTTCACTGATCTACTCCACTTCGCTCACTACCACAATCACGAGGAGGGGGTGGAGACAGACCTAATGACATCACTTTCCACCACCAATCGTATGACAGGCTACACAGCTAAGCCTTAGCACTGCAGCCAAGATAACGATTCAATAAACATTTCAGTGCAATGATTCTATCTGTATTATTCTAGGTAATAGAGATAACATTCAGTAAACAATTTCGCATTCAATGCCTAAATGTAGCGTTCTAGCTTTGCCCAAATCAAAGATGGCGGCACCCTCCACAGGCCGTTCAGTAGTGGCGACTTTCAACCAGCTGGCTGCGTCATACTAGGGACAGTGACGTGATTCTCAGGCGCCCGGCAGCCGGAGAAAAGAACTGTCCATAGAAGTGTCAGTAGAAAGGCGTCCGGTGCGGGCAGGACGGTGAGTTACCCGATATGGACTACCTAGGCCGAGAGCGGTGCTCTTTCACGATGTGACTGGCTTACCCTGGTCACGTGTGTAGAGTCCCAGATGTTGTTGAACTACAACTCCCAGCAGATTAGCCAAAGCATCCGGGTTATTAAAGTGCATGTATAGCTAAAACTTTTCTTTTTCGTTTTGGATAGAGAAGTGAAGAGTTCTAACCATCTCCAATTTATTTTGTGCTGCCTGTTTGCTGTATTGGGGACATTTCCTTTCACTTTCTTTCCTCAGGAAGCCAGAAGAAATCATGAGGAGAATTCCCCCTGCTAGACATTTTCCCCCAGAGCGGGTGTACCCGTTGAAAGATTTCCCCTCACTTCATGTTCTGATGTCTCTTAGGGCTCATTCACAAGGGCTTTTGTGTCCACATGCAGCAAGAACCTGCGGATTCCTGTGGCTGGGATAACAGCTCGGTCTGTACAAAGCAATGATAAACTGACAGGAGCCGTGGCTGTCCACTGCTAATCGCATGTATCCGGGCATTCAGCATTTACCTGCGGCAAGGTTCTGGACACAGACCGATTGTACACAGGGCCGGTCATATCACCTTGGCCCAGGTAACCGATAGAAGTGTAAATATATGGGAACAGCGACTGATTTGTGCCGCAGAAATCCACTGCCCAGACATAAAAGCCCCATGTGAATGAGGCCTAACATGGATTTCCCATCACTTTCTGTCTCGGTGAGGGGTCAGTATGCTCAGCGGGGGCACAAACAGCAAAACCAAAACCTGACAGATAATACGAGTCTTCACCACACTGACTAAACCAAAAAAAAGTTTGTTCTATAGATATACCTAAAGTGGAAGTAAACAGAGATATTAAAAAATCGTGATATGAAAACAGACAGACTCTCTATTTCAGCAGAGATATGCTTTGTCTCTTCGCCAATTAAACTTACCTGCTTGTTGGCGATCTTCTTTTAGAATGTACACAGAGTTGTGCAGAGCTCAGTGGTACATTCTTGGCACGCCTCAATGCCGGGATAATTGAAGTGCTATGCGCAGGACTTATTCACACCAGATCCATTGCAATCCTTTTTTCAAAGGAAGGTAACCCAAAAGATGAATGGGACCAGTTAACGTGGCTCAATTCTGTTGCATTGCGTTATGCTACGCTGAAAAAAAAATTACATCATGCAACGCAACAGAGCGGGGTGAACTAGCCCCATTCAGTGCCCTTGCATTAGCATTAGTTAAAAAACAGATCGAAGTGCAATGGATCAAAAGCAAAATGAAAGGTACAATCACAAGTCACTGGACCCTCCATTGACTTACATTTACCTTCTGATTTTGGTGTGAATGGGCCCTTAAGCTGGCCATACATCTATAGATTATCTGCAGATTTTCTATGGTCAGATGGAAAAAGTGCAACAGATTCCTCCATCTACGCTAAACTGTGTGGATGAAGGGATCTCCCACTGGGCCAAGCCTCAGTATCTTGCTAGCCGGCCTCCCTGGCTCTCAAAATACCTGAACAATCTTGATTGGATGCAGGCATTGTTCAGGTGTTTTGAAGCCAGCGGGGCCGACTAGCAAGATACTAAAGCTCTGTCCAGTGGTAGATTCCTCCATCCACACAGTTTAGTGTACATGGAGGAATCTGTTGCACTTTTTCCATCTGACCATAGACAATCTGCAGATAATCTATAGGTGTATGGCCAGCTTTACATCATTCTGGCCAATCAAGATTGCCAAAGATCCTGAGCCCAGAAAAAGAGCAGGTGAAGATGTCCGCACCAATGAGGGGAGGTGAGTTGAGTTTACTTCCACTTTAAGAGGCTAATGGGTGGTCTCATAAATGGGGGAGCAGTAGTGTAAATGGGCCAACCACAGGCCTTGTCTTATTTCCTGGAGGGGGGATAGATGACACGGGAGCTGCTCTCTTTTCCTCTAGAGTTCTTTGAATCAGTCCCGTATGAACTTCTTTGCAGGAAGCAATGATAAAGACAGAACAATTGGCTTAATTAGTCCCGGCATTGTGGCTGTGGGTACTTGTACTTAGGTACATGGATGCCTGTATGCTTGCTTTCTACTGTATACTAGCAAAGTTCTATGCCTGTTTTCCTCCCTTTGCGGGTAGTGCAGAGAATTTTGCCTGATATTACTCTATTAAAATGCAGCTATGTAACACCGGGGTGGACAAATGAATATGGGATTCAGGAGGCAGTCTGTCCAATCCAGGAGCCAGCAGGATTTTTTAGGAGCCAGCTCCATTGGCGGCAACTAAAGAAAACCTCAAAAGTTAGGATCCAGTTGTAATTCTTAAGGAGCATTGGCAACCTGGGGTTTGTCCACCCCTGATGTAACGTATAGCAAAACTTCCTCCCTCGCTCCTTCGTAATATCTTGCTTATTTTTAAAAAATTAAATATTGTAAGAGACAAACAGTTGTCTGACTTGGGATGGAAGGAGGAGTCTATTTATTTAATGTGGTTGATGTGTTTCCTGTTGCAGGCAGGCGGAGCCTATATCTCGATGGCTGTCCTGGAAGATTCCTGGAAACAGAGTTATCAGGTAATCAACTCATGTTTTTTGTTTGTTACCTTAACCGAGTTCTGCTTTAAATACATTAATGACTTAGGCCTGGTTCACACCTGAGCGAAACACGCAAAACACAGAAGTCAATGCATTCCAATGTGCAAGATTCACACTTGTGCGTTCATACGTGCGGACAAAAAAGTGCACTGCGAGAAAAGGTACATGTACGATTTTCTGGCCGGTTGTTGAGCTTTCTAATTGTGGTTTGTCCGCACGTATGAACAAGCTGAACTGCACACGCTCAGGTGTAAATGGAGCCTTAGGTTGTAATACAAAATGTTTTGCTTTTCTCAGGTTGGCAGTTACACATAAAACTGTTATTTTTATCTTAAAACAAAGCATTTTTGTGTTTTTGTTCTAGAAAAGCCTCTGACTGATATACATGATGCAGTGCTAAGCTGATGGGAATTTTACAACTTTATAATGTCAAAGACATCTTGCAGAAGAAAAGTTACTTCTGCTAAGGTAAGGTGGATGAAATGAAAATGCTGCTTCATTATAAGAAGTGCTTTACCTTTATTAAAGTGACACTAAACTCAGGAGTTAAATCTTAAAAATTCATTTGAATACCTTAAAGTAACATTAAACCCTCAGATTTTTTTAACATAACCAATACTGTAATGTGTGCCTTACTGTAATCCATGGTAGTTTCCCTTCTCTTTGCTGCTCTTCCTTTTAAATCCTCATGTCTTCTCATGCTGGGGGAGAACTTCCCTTTGCAGCGGAGTGCTTCTTCCTGTAGTGCTGGCTCAGGTTGCAAACCTGCACACAGACATCATGTATCCATTTCAGAGACAAGGCAGTCTGCTGCAAGACAGAAGTTCTACCCAGCATGAGAACAGATACAGATTTAAAAGGAAGAGCAGCAAAGAGAAGGGAAACTACCATGGATTACAGTAAGGCACACATTACAGTATTGTTTTATGTTAAAAAATCTGAGGGGTTAATGTCACTTTAACTATGAACAAAAATGTCTCTTATTTGTGTATCACTCAGCTGTAGATCTTCAAATCATCTCTGAATTGGTGCTGACACTGTCCTTCCTTCTGGAGGGTGACTACTTGTGTTCCCCATGGTCCCTGTGTGTGTTGTAAAGTAGTCACCGCTCCAAGCTCACTCCTGTGATGGACTACAATCTCATGTTTAGATTACTGATTTGTACTGAGATTGTACTGAGAACTTTCATAAGAAGAGTTCCTTTATTTAGATCATTATATAAATAAAGACTTCAATACAGTTTATTGAAAGATCGAATCGGAAACAGGAACATCAAGAGCATTCAAATTTCCCACCGTGTTAGATGTGGCAGTTTTGATTGCTTCTCCTTGCGGTCAATCAAAAGTTTCTTTTTATATCTTTTGATTTCTTTCAGTTTCAGCAAAAAATAGAATCACTAAATTTTCAGTAAATTTTTTCTAATTGTAATAAAAAATAAAACCCCCAGTGGTGATTAAATACCACCAAAAGAAAGCTCTATCTGTCCCTAAAAAATGGTGTAAAATTCATTTCAGTACAGCGTTGCATGACGGAATAAACGTCAGTCAAAGTATCGCAGCGCTGAATACTGAAAAATGGCCTGGCCAGGAAGGGGGTCTAAACACCTGGTCTTGAAGTGGTTAAGCAATCTGTCAAATGAAAAGTGTATGGTGAACTTGACAGACAGGTTTCTCTGTTTGAAAACAATAGGCTCTCTACAAATCTAACATTTGAAGGAAGGGAGGGAAAAGTGTTGCCCGGAGCCACTAGTTAGATATCAGCAGGAAAAATGTATTTTGCATTGGAGGCATGACAGCTGGACACCTATTTGCAGTGAAGAGCAGGTTAGAATGAGGACAAGGCACTGTTTGTTTGTTTTGCATTTTTTTGTGAGGAATACTTCCCAGTGGCCAAATGATTCTTGGTGTAGAATATCATTGGGAGTCTGCTGAGCGCTGTGGTGTGCATTTTTCAGTATAATGACAAGGTCACCAGAGGTGTTTTTACATTTTTGTTCCTCAGATCACAGATTGGGTAGAGCCGTCATTTGAAGACATTTTTGGAAGCTCACACAAAGTCTCAGTTCGTGCATCTGGAGCGGCTAAAACAGAAGCCAAGAAGAAAGATGACTCTGTAGATACCAAGTCTCAGGGCAAAAAGAGAGCAAACCCTTTTTCCTCAGATCAGTCAAATGATCGACTTAAACCAACCGCTAACCAGGATCAGAATGAGTCATGGATTGATAAACACACACCTAAACTTCAGGTAGGTGCTAACCAATTTTATTCCCGGTTTGTCTGGGCTAATGTTAAAAAGCAGTTTTATTTACCTTACCCCTTGCTCCCCCAGCAGCCAGGGCTCTCTTTATCCTCCAATGCTGTGGGTTGTGGGTTGGCCCTTGCCATCCTTACGTGAGCTATCCGTGCAGTGCTAGATTTTCCTGCAAAATCAATCGATTTCATTTATGCTAAACAGCGTAGATCATAGAATCTCCACTGCCAGCTATTGTATTCTACAGCTGCCTGAATACCCGAGCAGTGACTGCATCTGATAGGATAATAATAATAATTTTCACCTGGAACAGTCGATTTTTAAAAACAACTTATGTCTAGCTGGGTTGTGCTTGCAGGGCCACCCACGGCTTAAATTTTGCGCAATTCAGCACGAATTGAATTCAATTCAAGTCATCTATGGCCAGCATCACCATGCTAGACTGCTGGCCCTATATTGTACATAATGACGCCAGAGCATGACCAGCTTATGCAGTGCCAAAGAGAAGTGGCTTTGGGGAACCATTACCATGGAAAGTAGAAAGACTGCCGGAGCAAGGGGATTAGGCAAGTCAAACTCTAGACTAAAATGAGCACTTAACCCTAAGGCTGGGTTCACACCTAGGCGTATCAAATATGCGTGTTTGTTGCGCGTTTCGTGCTGCGTATTTTTACCGCGATTTGTGGTAAAAGAAACGCGCGACAAATGCGCGTTTGCGAGGGCTACCTTACTGTATGCCAGTGGATATGCGCGGCAAATACGCCCCAAAAAAGCTCCTGTGCTTCTTTGGGCGTAGGGCGTTTTTCTGTGCGTTCCTAAGTGCTGTAAAACGCCCATGTGGGAACCATGCCCATAGGCAATCATTGGTTTTCATGTGTTGAGCGTTTTACAGAGCGTAGGAACGCGCTGTAAAACGCTCAGGTGTGAACCAGGCCTTACGGTGGGTAGTTTTGAATTGTTCCTGTCGTTCAACCTTAAAATGAATACATTTAAATGTGAATATATCTTTTCTGCAGGCAGACCTTGCTGTACACAAGAAGAAGATTGAGGAGGTTGAGGCCTGGCTGAGAGCTCACATTGGCAAGAAGCAGGTTTGCTTGATTCCTTTTTCTTGGTGATTGTTGTAGATGAAATATGTTTTCCTTATATTCCTCTTTACCAATCAGTTGTAGTAGATCTTGTTTTTCATGTTTATATAAGTTGTCCTATTGCTTTTTATACCCACCCTAAATACTTTCCTTGGGAACATCTTTTCTCTTATATGTTCCTACAGAGTGGCTCTGTTTTATTACTTACTGGACCTCCTGGCTGTGGAAAGACTGCAACCATCCTAGTGCTTGCACAGGAAATGGGGATCCAGGTGCAAGAGTGGGTCAACCCTGTAATGCAGGAGTTTAATCGGGATGCGCCACCAGAGGTCTTTGATCGGGGTGAGATAAAAAAACCAAAAGAAAATCATTTTTGTTAATGTGCTGAAATGTTTTATAAAGTATGTAAAGTAAGAAGTCCAGTATAATAGAAAAAAACAAGGGGGGTATTAGTTTGCAATGAGTTGTTAAAATCAGGTAATGAAAGGAAGCCTATCACTTCCTTCCTTGCAGTGGTAGTGCAGCTGATGTCCAGTTTTCTGTAGGGATGCACCGATACCAGTAAATGTGCAAAAACAGATACTTTTCCAGCTCCAGGACTAGACTAGAGAAAAATTAAAAAGTTAGGAGGCAGCTGTCATTTGTATGGAGCACACGGAGCTCCTGGGATTTGTACATCTCTGTTTTTAATGTATGATTTTGTTTTTATAAACATATAAATATATATAAGTGATGCACTGATACTATTTTTGCAAGTACTGATACATTTTTGTTTATTGTCATGTGGCAGTTTTTTAAAAACAATACATACTAATGATTTCAGAACAGTGGTGGAGCGCCAGAGCCTGGTCCCAGCTACAACTGCTGCAACCCTGGTAGTTCTCATGAAAATGCCAAGTATCTGCACTGGTATCTGAAAAGTATCAGTGCATCCCTAGTATTCTGGTGTTTTCTCACCCGGTCTACTACATCTTCCTGGGTAACATCAGACTTTACAGAAAGGAAAGTAGGGGAAACCCCTTTTGTGTCATAGGAGCGAAGATTCTTTTTTGGTTCACACCTCTTCAGCTGTGACATAGTAACAAGGAAGAGTGGCTATGCACAGGTTCTAAATATGAAGTCTCCCACAAGTGTTAGCAGTATGGACAAACTTCAGGCAAAAATCATAATATCCGGTTACCAGTTTTCTACCAATGCAAGCGTGTGTACAGTTCAACAACCACCTCCTCAAATTACTGTAATGGCGCTCACCAATCTAATGGGTGACTGGATCTTATTAACCCAGCCCTAGACTGATGAGTGGATAGTGAAGGATCTGCAGCACATAAGGGTTATCCCTGTGCTCCTTCTCCTGTAAGCAAAGTGTGAGGTTATAAAACTGAAATGGCTCTCAATGCTGACCATCACTATTCCAGTGTGAGTGCTGTTGTGCAAGGGATGACAGCAAACTGATATAAGTGTAAAAATAAACAAAAAGACATGTTTGTTGTTTCCTATAAGTGGACTGGGGTCATGTTATGAGGCTACTTCAGATAATGGTCTTGTGACTTTGTTTAATGTGGATGAAAACTAGTCTGTAATTCTTCTAACAGGCTGAAGTGCAGTACCTCTTGCTGCTTGCAGGTAACTTTTCTCAGTCTTCAAATGGATCCCTGTGCAGCCCTTTTGGATCCTAGGCTTGAAAGTACATGGAACTCATTTGAGTGGCAAACGCCACCTCCTTTCATTCAGCTAACAGATGAGAGATCCTTTGCTGCCCACTGATTTTTTTTGTTCTTGACAGTTAAAGTTTAAGGCACTTTTTAAAAATGTGCTTTTATACCAAAAGAGACTGCAGCATTTCTTTTAATTGTATCTTACCTGCATCTCCGTGTGCAGTGTTGGCAGACAATAAGACACATAGGAGTTATCCCCGGTCGGCCAATCAAGCAGGTTAAAAAAACCAGACCTATGACAAGATAGTGGTGATAGGAGAAACGAGGGGGTGTGTGGACATGGCAGCACTCGAGAAGGACACTTCGAAAGGTATGTGTGCCATAATGTGCTAATCTGCTGTGCTTACTTGCGGACCACAAACGCATTAAGCTCTGCTTTAAATAACAAAGAGTGGGGCTTAGCACCAGGCAAAGGCAAGATGCAATTTTGACATAAGAAGAAGGCAAGGTCCCATGTTCCTCCTGTGGCTAGGATGCAAGTTTTCTTCACGATGATCCAGTTTGAAGACCATAACCATAGGTACCGGCAGACAGCACAAGATGGCTGAACTTCGGGCCTGCTGTTTCTTTAGGCTTAGACAGGTTTATTTTAATGCTTGAGACTGTCTTTGCCTCCAGTCAATGGAACTCCGTACCATTACTCAGCTGCTGTTTTAAACATTTGTTTTACATGTAATGATAATTGAACTTCATAACGTGCATCATGAACACATACATTTCTTTTTGCTTCAGATATGGGATTCCAGCCTTTCACTAGTCAGTCTCAATCTGCTCAGTTTCACGACTTTCTTCTAAGAGCAAATAAATACAACAAGCTGCAGATGTTTGGAGAGGAACCTTGTACAGATAGAAAACTCATCATTGTTGATGTACGTTATCCATGTTTTTCTACCCCTCGCTCTGCCTGCTATGTAATCTTCTGCTAATATTTTACTTTTATCGGAGGTTGCCTCTTTAAAGCTGGTCACATGATCATCCATGCTTTATTTCAATTTGTTGTGCAGTGGCTTGTGGGAAGAGTAAAGGTGCCCATACACTGCACGATTCTCGTACGAGAATCGCGGGAAATCCCGCGATCGTACGAGAATCGTGCAGTGTATGGAAGGCGTGCGACCGTTTCTACTGTACGGTCGCACGTCTTCCATCGAACCAGCATGTTTGAAAACCCGCCGGGAATCGTACGATTCTCGGCGAGTTGGTGGCCTGCTGGTTCGACAACTGCCGAACGGGCCGGTGTGCGCATGTGCACACTGCCCGTTTGCAGTCAGCGTAAGCCCGCCCCTCATTACAGTCATCGCAAGCCCGCCCCTCAGGGGGCGTGGCTTGCGATGATCGAGAGTGCGATCTGCCCGTCCAAGATGGGCAGATCGTACGTTTTTTTAATCCCTTTACAACCATCGCAAGACTAAGGTTTTGCTATGGTTGTACAGTGTATGGCCACCTTTAGGTGGTGCCAGTACATCAGTGCAGTGCAGTGGTTGACATTTTACAGACCTATGTTAATCTAAGCTGATATACACAGCTGTGCCTTAATGTGAACACTACAGAACAGCAAACCAAATGTTGTGCGTTACATGTGTTTGCAGTCCAGATCACACCTACAAGCTCCCCTTTCATACAAATTACTGCTCCTGTATCAGTAGATAATACAGGACACATCACCTATTAAAAAGGACACTGAAAATCAGCTGCACTCACTGAGAAACAAGACTGCATTCACAAATACAGCATACAGTACACTGTCAGCAGTGGACGAGTTCCTTTAGCGTGCACAGGAAGCAGGGGGGCTCTCTTCTGATGACCCTTTCTCATCCAGATAAAAGCAGATGCCACTACTTATGCGTGCAGTCTGGATCACAGTGCCTAGACACTACTGCTACGATAGGGGTGAGATAGTTCTCATCCAGCACCCATCATAGCTCTGGAAGTTGTGTGCACCACATAGGACGTAGCAGCAATGACTGACACCCCAAGGTGCATATCTATGACACCCAGTGGATCTTGTAGGAGCATGGGCATCACCAAATATAAAGTATACCTGCTACATTACACTGAGGCACGCAGTGGAGAGCGGAGAGTCATTAAATCAAAGAGCAGCATAGTTTTCCATCAAGCACCATAGGCAGAGCGACAGAAACGGGTGAGGCTGGAGGTGCACTTAGTAGTCCATTTAAGCCTAACACGGCAGCTGCCTTAGTTATATAAATACCTTTGAAGGCAAAAGAGGTCATTGTTACTCATGGAGAAACTGCATAAGAGAGGGGAAGCGTATCCACATTGCTGTTTTAATTTGCAGTAAATATGTGAGACTCCCACTTCCTCATCTTATAATCTTATAAAAAAGTTACCTTTTAAACCAAACCGTCTGTAAGGCCGCTGTGCCAGAATGCTGTGAAAATACAATCATCATAACAATATATTACTGGACAGGGTGCTGTTATGTGGGTGGGTCCTAAAGGCTGGACAGGTCCCTAGTAAAGCTGAATTGTGGAGGACCACAAAGGAGGACTTTCTAGATTATAAAGCTACCAGTAGACCCCTTGCAGTACCTACTATTAGGCAGTGTTTGAAATTACTGACAGGTTCATTTTAAAGATGGACACTAGCTGAAATGCCAGATAATAAGCATGAAGGCTTTTTTGCTAGCCCTGAATTATTCCAACTTAAATGCCAGATCCGCTTTTGTACATTCTGTAATATGTATTTGAATGATGACAGTTGTAGTACAATAGATATGGCACACCATCGTCACAGCAATATTAAGACCAGGCCAGGAAATTGGTCATCACTTCCTGTCTTCTTGTTTTCTAGACCTTTTTTTCGTTTATTGAAATCCATGGTTTTCCTGTGTGTTGTATGTTTTCACCCCTAAAATCCCAACTTTTTTCTTTCTTCATTAGAAGCCACTTGAGGTGCAAGTCTAGAGCTTCAGATTATAACCTTAAATTTCACCTGAGATTATATTTACTTCAATAAATGTTAATATTTTGCTTTTTTTTTTTTCCTTTAGGATATGCCTAATTTATTTTATAGAGACCCTTCAAGTTTACATGATATTCTCAGGTAAGCTGCAGTGTTTCTGGGATATGAATGCTACATTTGTTTTCCTATACCATTCATATTTGATTTATTGGTTTGTTGTAGGAAATTTGTGCGAACCGGACGCTGCCCTCTTGTGTTTATCATATCAGACAGTCTAAGTGGTGATAGTCATCAAAGACGGCTGTTCCCAAAGGAAATTCAGGATGAATTATGTGTCTGTAATGTCAGGTAAATACTTTGCCTATTTTGGTTCCCTGTATAGCTTTAATTGCCCCATTGATAAATTTGGTACCCTGGCTCAACATAAAATGAGTGAAATATGTAGACTGCTATTCCTTGCTGAGTCTTAAAGTGCTAGTATTGAAGCCAAAACATCAGCATGGTGGCCAGGAAGCTAATATTTATTATGGCAGCCAATATTTTTCAGAAATTTAGATGCCCCCCTCCTTTCACATCAGAGTTTCCCTTCTCATCTGATCCCTCTCCTTTCACATCACAGCTTCGGAAGTCTCCCCTTCACATCATGAGCCTTTGTCACTAAAGAAGCACCACCCCCCTTCACATCTGAGCCCCCCTTTTACATCACAGCCGCCCATCCTATCCCGCACTTTTACATTAGAGTTCCTCCTTCACATCAGAAGCCTACTTGCATCATGACGCTGTGCGAACATTTCAAGGCTCGCCTAAGGGAGACCACACCACCCTGGTTGAGAAAGGCTGGCCTAGAGCAGTTTTGTAAATAGATCAAATCTGATCTAGTTTAATGGCTGTTTTCCTGTCGCAGATTGATACTAATTTGTTCCAAGTGTAGTAACCAATATGCAAAATGTTATTTTAGAGTTACATATTTAACATATTATTATGTTACAGTTTTAATCCAGTTGCTCCCACCAGTATGATGAAAGTCCTGACCCGAATTGCTACGTCAGAGGCTGCTATGGTAAGTGTCTGTACATGGCAAGATGTTAACTGATCATTTTAGGGATTTGGGTACATTTTGATCCACACTCAGTACAGTTTTAGGAAGCTGGCCTTGTTAGTATTTAAAGCAAGTACAGTTTCGACTACCTGTTTCGACTACCTGTGAATAATCCAGCATCTTTAGGTCTAAAGTAGGGTACACACGGAGCGAATTGCAGGCGATTCAGCAGGAAGCACGAAATTCACTCCATGTGTGCCCTATTCCATTGGCAGAAGTCATTCATCAGATCGACTTTTGCCAAATCAACGTGTTGGAAGAAATTTGGCCGAATGGTGCTTGCAGGTTGAAGAAGAAAATATATGCATGTATAGGCTATAATAACCCTTCTGCTCAGCGTTTGGATGAAGCAGTAGGATATGTTGGTGGCCAACTTTATATAATAATGTAATAATAAAATCTAGACCCCCCTGGAATTTTCTTATCTTCCTGTGTATGTGGCTGTAGCATGTCTTTCTATGTGTACAGGAGACCTAACAGCAGGTAACAAACTTACTTTATATGTGTCCTAGCTTTTCAAATTTCCCTTTGTCGTTCTCCAGTGAATTAATAGCTTTCTTGATTTGTAGTTAATCTTCATTTTTGTGTTTTAGAGTGGGGGAAAATGCATTATTCCAGACAAGCAAGTACTTGAGTTACTGTGCTCTGGATGCACTGGAGATATCAGAAGTGCCATTAATAGCCTTCAGTTTTCAGCACTTAAAGGTAAAGGACTCAAGCATACATTTTTTCTGTTGCTTCTACTGTTAAATTTGTTAACCTATAAACAAATGAGGTATCTGAAACTTGGAGATATCCTGATAGACTAAATAGTCATTGTTTTTTACCCATACACCTAGGTTAGTTTGCTGTGCCTATCCTTCTTTAACCTTTGGCAGCTGTAACATTCTACCTTCCTTTATTAGATTTTTCCCCATGTATATCATCATAGGCTGGAGTTATTTCATAAACGGTAACAGGGTTATTCACAAAAGGGTGAAGAGTTTGTTCACTTCTCCAATCTAGCTGAGTTGGAATAATTCTCCAATTCAGCTCACTTTCCAGTTCAGCTATGTTGTCCTAGATTGTTCACTTCTCCTGCCTTCTCCAAATGCAAATCTGAAGAATATGTAAAGAGTTCTTTTAAGATCAATCACCAGAGTCACACTTAAAGTGACACTAAACTCAGGAGTTAAATGATAAAATACATTCAAGTTCCGTAACTATTAACAAAAATGTATCTCATTTGTGTATCACTCGGCTGTAGATCCTCAAATCTCTGAATGTGCTGACACTGTCCTTCCATCCATGGTCCCTGTGTGTGTTGTAGAGTAGTCACCACTCCAAGCTCCCTCCCGTGATGGACTACAATCTCACATTTATTTTACTGATCTGCGATTGTATTCCATCATGGGAGCGAACTTGGAGTGGTGGCTACTGTACAACACACACAGGGACCATGGGGAACAAAAGTAACCACCCTCCAGAAGGAAGGACAGTGTCAGCACCAATTCAGAGATGATTTGAGGATCTACAGCCGAGTGATACACAAATAAGATACATTTCTGTTAATAGTTAAGGTACTTGAATGTATTTTGAACATTTAACTCCTGAGTCTAGTGTCACTTTAAGTGTGAAACTGAACACTATACAGACTTTTTTGTAAAGTTTGAAAACTCAATTTGTGTCGTGAAACTGAAATGCAAGGCTGTGCAGGATTGCTGGATACACAACATCATAACATACATGGGTGTCCTGCTACAAAGAGCTGAACCAACATAGAGCGATTTAAAAGCACACATAGATAAATAGATACATTCATACATAGCGCTCTGTTACTACCATGTAGAGACAGATGAGCAGTAAACATTTTCTTTATCTTCGTGGATAGGTTTGTAGAGCAAAATGTGGTACTAGTGTCTGGAAATGAAGTGCATGTAAGCCCTAACAATAAACATCTCTTATTTGCTACCTTTTTGGTTAGTTAAAAATACCTTTTTAAGCTTGATTGATAAGTGCAAACGGGTAAGTGTTAATCCTACCAGAAATCCAGTGCTGTCCTGTGCTCTTAAGTAATGTTATTAGCCTCTAACAGTTCACCTCTGTGAAATACAGAAAATACAGAACACCTCCTATGTAATGGAGAGGATAGGGGAGGTGTTCAGTAGTACGAAATCACATCCTGTGCTAGGGTGGCAATACTGCTCCACCATAGATACAATACAGTGAGAGAGCGTTGTCACCCTAGCACAGGGATTGTGTTACTGGCAAAATTAGAAGGTGAGAATATAGGAAAATGAGGACTGGTAAGCTGCATTATGTTAAAATATTGTTTTGAGTTTAGATACGCTTGAATGGTCTCATTCCTATGCACAGAAATACAGGTGTATGGGCATACAGCAGAAAATACAACTTTATTGTGCAGCACCAGCTGGTGCGTATTTGTGTCCACAGGATTGTATGGACACAATACGCTGTAAGGAGGTATAAACGCAAGTACCAATGTTTACACTCGCATGCGTATGGTCCAAAATGTGAAACTTCCATGTTCGGGACCTTATGCCCATGCATGTGCACATCCATACTTGTGTTTTACACATGCACACCTGCTTACAGTGGTGTATTGTGTCCATACAGTCCTATGTACGTGATTCGGTCGGCACAAATACAAACTTATTTTCTGCTGTATACCCAGACGCCTGTAACTGCAACCATGAGAATGAGCCCCAATAGTTAACTGTTATTGATCTTTATCTATCATCGTTTTGTTCTAGACTCTTCCTTATCAAATGACTTCTGGTCTAAAAAGAAAAGCAGATCGACAAAGTCAGATAAAACCTCCAAGGGGAAGAATAAAAAGAAATCTGATAATGTTGGGGAAATCACAGATGATATCCAAGCCATTGGAGGAAAAGATGCTTCACTTTTCTTGTTTAGAGCATTGGGAAAAATACTTTACTGCAAAAGTAAGATCTGTTCATCTATTCTATACTCTGGTGTAGTTTTGTCTTCCATCCATGTATCCAAGTAAGATGTATCTGAGTGTACATACAAAGTACAGTTTTGGTTGCATTGTGTTTTCAGTCTGTACAATGGTACTGTTTATAAAAAAATAATCTATTCTTCCAGTGACACTCCATGTACATTTCTTCTGTATGAATTAACCAACTGTCGTGAGAATGGGGAAAATTTAAAGGTTTCTGGTATTTTCTTTAGTGATTGAATGTTCTTAAAAAAATGTAAATAATATAAAGCAGTGGTACTCAACCTGTGTAACCTCAGGACCCACATTTGTCCTTGGTCATTAAGTCGCACCACACTGGAAGGCACGACATTGTGGTACCGTGCGTTCCAGTGCGGGCGATTAAACTGTGAGCAGCAGGTGCGTTTGGGGTGCCTTTCAAATGAATGGCAGTGCACCTCCCACACCAGAACGCGCGGTAGGTGAGATTGCATTAATCGCATGGGACTGTGCGCTAAATGCACTGTACTAGTGTGAACAGGACCTCAAAACCACTGACAGACACAATCTCACACTCAGGCATTCTCACACACACATACACACTCCCAAAAAAGTGTAATTTTTTATATATAGATATATATAATCTGCCCAGTCTCCATACCTTACGAGAACTGGAGTGGATCCTCAGACTGGGGTGCTGTGCTGTGACGAAGCTCCATCCGTTTGTGCATTGCTTGTACAGCTCCCTTGCTTGCCGTGTAGAGGTGGCGGGAGCCAGAATGTGACGTCACTCCAGGCACCACTATAGGGCACGCAGGGGACCTATAAGCAATGCATGTATGGCTGGAGCGCCCTCCTGGCCATACCCCAAGCTAGCACTCTGCACCAGGCAGTATATTTTGAATGCTCTGTGTGAAAACTGACAGAGCTGCGCTAGGGGAAGGCTGAGGAGCCTCTCACCTAGCACAGAGGAAGGCACACGGCGACCCACTGAGCACAGGGTCGTGACCCACCAGTTGAGAACTATGGATATAAATCATCTGGCGCTTGCTCTCACTTGCAGATTAAATTAGCACTAGTATATTATGAAAAGTCCTGTCAGTTTTGATAGCACCAGTATTGCTGTGTTGTAGATACATTGGTCACCGAAGTGCTGTATATAATAATCCCATAGACTGGTGGTGGTGATTGTCTTTGGTAGATAGACACTATATTGCAAATCAGAAAAAGTAAATGTGCTCTCTGCTCCGATTTATCCATTGATCCATGCAGAGTTAGGAGACTACCTATAAAATGTTTCATACCATTCTGATGTCTTCATGCATGTCTGTATATCACACTTATTTTGTAGGCTTGGAGGATCTTGCTTTCAACTTTTTCTCCCCTTTTACCATGGAACTCTTCCTAAATTGACAGCCAGTGGTCTGTGGTGCAGTAAGACTTTCTGGTTTCTCTCTGGAGAATCCACTGTGACCCTGGTTAAAGCCACAATACTTTTGTCACCAGCTCTCTTAATACACTTACCTTAGGAATATATAGAGGAAGCACTCCAAGGGAAAGAATTGAAGTCCAGCTTACAGCGGAGCATTTACTGTCACAACTGGACCAGAAACATGGGACATAGACAATAATATAAACCTGATCTGGATAAAACCTTACCTTCCTTAACCCAAAATGTTTAAAATGTTTTCAAAGATTAACTGTTTTAAGGGAACCTGTGGTCATGTTTAATACATGCATTAGATAAAAGCTGCCATTATTAGACATCACTCAGAGTAATAGGCTCAGCCTAACTCCACCAGAACTAACATGCAGACTTAAAGTGGAACTAAAGTCCAACTTTGAATTGCTAGGATTTAGGGTTTATTGCTGGGGCTCTGCTGCCTCTCCTGCAGACCCAGGACTGGCATGGTGGATGGCTGTGCTTGATCAGCTTCATTGAAGTGCAAAGGTGACATTAGACCCCTGTTGTCCCCTTAATGTGAACCTGTCACCACTAAAGTGCTATCATCATCGTCACTCATGTCGCTCTGATGAAGAGTCTGTGCAAGGCCCCGAAACATAAGCTTCTAACGACATGCTGTGACACTCTTCAATAAACATATCAAAGAGATGTTGATATCTGAACGTATCTTTGTGTGTGCCGGTGACCTGCTGAAACTATCATATATGGGGCTTGTGAACCCCCTAAATGATAGCAATAAAGTTAAGTTAAAAAAAAAGTAACTTTTGCCAAAAAAAACTCTCCCTGTGGTTCTTGCAAACTTTGGTCTTAAAATGCATGCCGAGAGTAGAGCTGGATGGTGGAGACAATGTTACTCCTGCATGCATGCACAGGAGTTACATCATCGGTGGCCATCCAATGACCGAAGAAGGACATTGTGAAAACTGGAATGAAGCTGCATGGGAGATGGCATTAGTGACTGGAAGCTGGACCTGTCCCTGTTGGAGGGGAGCAAACCAAATGGCAAGTGTGCTGTACATAGCTAGGCAGGAAACCTGTATTGAGAGATATGTGGAGGCTGCCATTGCTTACGTCAGCCTAAAAATGCTAGTTGCTTGGCAGCGTTTGGCTTCATTCATTTCTGAGTCCCTAACCTGGAAGTAGCATGCAATTCAGAGTTGACTACTCATAATTCTTCTGGCTCAGTGATTTAGAAAGTTTGTATTAATTATACTGTATTTTATCTGCTTCTTAGGAGAGGCACCAACCCCCGACTCCAACTACCAGAAATTACCAGCACATTTGTCTCAACACGATAGAGACCTGCTGCTTGTTCTTCCAGAGGTGAGCCCAATCTTTTTTTGTAGAGTGGCGACATATTTATATTTTAATAAAAGTTACTTTAGGTCTGTTCTCATTATGTCTTACAAGTCTTACAGTTTTACTCCCCATGCCCATGACAGTCATTCTACATGTAATTGACCTAGTTGTCAACAAGGCACCAGATGTCATCATTATCCCCTACACTGGAAGCCTATACCTATAAGTTTATCTTTGATAAAAATCTTCATTTTTCTTTTCTGTTATTGTTCCTTGCCTGTGACTGTGTACACAGTATAATGCATCATTTCAGTCTGTTGTAACACTTCAGAAAACTTAAAGCGGACCTTTACACTCAAAAATCAAATTCTACCAATGCATCCCTCTATGTATGATGATTAATAATAACATAGACATGTCAGGTGTAAAATGCTGTGATTTTGAAATACTTCCCCTTGCAGAGCATTCACTTCCTGCTTTGAAAGGGCAAAATGACTTCAGTTTGCCAGAGCAATGCACACTGGGATTGCCTTGTCATCAGCAGAGCATTGCTGGGAAATCTCATCGGTAATCTCATGAGATCTCTTGGAAAGGCATTTTCCATCTCTGAGATGGTGTGCATGGTCACATGTCCTAGTCACATGTCTAGTCACATGTGCCAGATTTTCAGGAAGTAAATGGAGATCTAGTAATCTGTCCTTAGTAAACATGACCTCTGTGAGAAGACTGGGAAAGAAAAGAGAAATAAGATATGTAAAGAATACAAAGCCGACAATTATCTAGAAGTATGTGTTTGTAGATTGTCATTACTAAACATTTTTAAAGGTGTGTTTGTTGTTGTTTTAACCACCTCCTGTCCATGGCCATTCCTGAATGGCTGGACGGGAGTCTTATAGGAGCGGGAGGGTGTCTTAAGACGTGTGTGTGTGTCCCCAAGTGGGGAAACTGTCAGAAATGTAAACAGTAAAATAACACCATTTTTGTTTTAAAATCCCCCCACATACACACGCAAACATGCGTCGGGTGCGCCTACGTGCAAAAACGACGATTCCGCCTATTGTGCCGCACATGTTACATATCGCCACTAAACTGATGAGCGGTAAAAGCGTCGCCAATGGACAATTTTGGGTGTGGCTGTTTTCTGCGATTTCGCAGGCACCCGCAATTTTAAGGCTTGGCATGCTTAGTGTCTATTTACCCGACAAGACCCCACCTTTTATATTTTACCAAACAATTGGGGTGAGTTTAAATGTTTCATTACATTTTATAGGGAAACAGTTTTTTTTTTCAAAATTTAGGGTACTTTTTTTGTTATATAGTAAAAAATAAAACCCCCAGTGGTGATTAAATACCACTTAAAGAAATCTCTGTCCCCAAAAAATGGTATAAAATTAATTTCAGTACAGCGTTGCATGACGGAATAAATGTCAAAGTACGGCAGCGCTAAATACTAAAAAATGGCCTGGACAGGAAGGGGGTGTAAACACCTGGTCATCAAGTGGTTAAAGATATGGGTAAAGGCCCACTTTAATGGAACAGCAAAGGTCTTACAAATCGGATGGAATTCCTGTTGTTGGGGAGTGTCTGCTAAAAATTGTCCAGTGGTTCTTTCAAAACTCCCCGTTATCCGGCATCCATGGGGATTGGTAGATTCCAGATAAATGTAGTTTCTGGCTGCTTGAGAGTTACTATTAAATATAGGTCTAACTAATGCCATATACTAGTGATGGCGAACCTTTATGAGCCCGAGTGCCCGAACTGGATCACTAAACCAACTTTTGTATCTCAAAGTGCCAAACCTCTCAGGCTTTCAGGTGGTCTGTATCGGCTCTCAGGGGCACTGTGCGGGCTCTTTGGGGGCTGTGTGGCTCTCGGGTGGTTAATAAGGGCTCTCAGGTGGGCTATGTGGGCTCTCAGGTGGTCTGTATAAGCTCTATGGGGGGGCTGTGCGGCTCTCAGGTGGTCTGTAGGGCTCTCAGGGGGCTCTGCGGCACTAAGGGACGCTGTGTGGGCTCTCGGGGGGGATGTGCGGCTGTCAGGGAGGCTATAAGGGCTCTCGGGTGGTCTGTATGGGGCACATATCGTTTCCAGGATAATACATGCCGCAGAACAGTGAGTACCGGATAACTGAGAGCTTACTGTACTTGGTCATCTGAAATTCTGCTGTATTCTTATGATTGTATGTGGAGAAGATGGTGGATATAGTCAGTGCTTGGAGGAAAATCCTTTCCCCACCATTTCTGAGACTAGCAGAATGTTCTATGTTTTGGATTGTATGCTTTAGAGTTGCTGCTATCACTTACATTAGTACTTTTATTTTTGTATATATATTTTTACCTTGTTTTCTGTTTCTACTCTCAGGCTGTTGTAGAAAGATCACATATGCGAAGTGAGCTGTTCAATCTATATCTTCACCAAAACTATCTGGATTTCTTCTCTGATATTGATGATGTTGTCCGAGCCAGCGACTACCTCAGTGCAGCAGATGTTCTCACCGGGGACTGGAATGTAAGGAGCGTAATCTGAATCAGTGAGACTTACACTTTCTTTACTCTAAATAATAAAGATTTACTTTTTTTTTTTCTTCAAATGTACTGCGCTGTACTGGTGTCATAGCAGCTCCCAATAGCCCTACAAGCTCTGTGTGTATCCAAAGACCATATATACATAGAACAATAAAAGCAGAAACATTGTGCACTGGATACTGCAGGTAAAACCACTTTATGAAATGTGAAAGATTAAATTGCACTCACCATGAAGTCACCCGTTATGTCCTGATCAATTCACTTTATTGTAAGTGTTCTTTTATCCAGTGCTCCCTGTTTTTGCTTTTATTGTTATAGATTAAGGTACAAAGTTTTAGCTTTACAAACACTTTAAGTGAAAGCTTTGGTGTAGTGTATTGTTACATACAGAATAATAACCTGCCTGCAGTATATTTCTAGGGATTTTTAGGCGTTCCACACCCCTTGACCTTGTGCAATTATGTGTGCATAGAACCTCTTTTCTTAGACAATCCCATAGTGGAAATTGTTACATTTCTCTGGTTCATAAGGGGTTATTTAGGTTCTTCTAAGCTCATATAACTCAGTATGTCATCAAGTATTAAATGTCATGCACTGAAATGCATTATTTCAAACATACACATTTAATTACTTCCATTGTTCAGATGGTCATGTTTGTTATTGTTTTCTGCAGTCCCGGACAACTCTCAATGTATACAGCTCATCGGTGGCCTGCAGAGGAGTCATACATTCCAACAGCTCCAGGGCTTTTGCCAACTGCCAGTCAGGAGTTGGCTTTCGGCCTCTTCATAAACCACAGTGGCTTATGGCTAATAAAAAGGTAGTTAGAACACTTATATTTATTACATGTAATGACATTAAAGATGTAGAGTTTTACATTTCAGCAATCATTCAAATGGGTCATGATTTTATAAAAAGATTAAGTAGAAATCATATCCATCATTTTGATGGATTAAGGGCTTGTTCACGGTTAGTGGCTGGAACGCATTGGATCGCATAATTAAGCCTCCCTGCATTCTGGGGCGCTAGGGGGTGTGGTGGTGCCGTGACATGCGCTCCCACCCGCAGTTGGATTGCACGCAGTCCGGTCCAGTGCGATTGCAAAAAAACAGTGCACGCACAATCTTTTGCGATCGCACTAGACATGGGCATTGCTGTGGGGCCGGAGGCATGGCTGCTGTGCCATTGACTTGAATGTACCACCATGCCCCCTCCAGCCCCTGAATGCAGAGAGGCTTGCTCTATGCGATCCAGTGTGTTCAAGCCACTAACTCTGGTGGAACGCACTGGATTAGATGTGAACAAGCCCTAAGTGAATCACATTTCTTATCTTATTTATGGTGCTTTTGAAATGTTTATTATTCAAGCACCAAGATGTGATAACACTGAACTATACTTTTATCTCTATTCTCTGAATATTCCTTATGTTATATACCATTATGAGGCCATTGCAAGCTCCTAGGCAAACATTTGCATGCAGATCATCCTAGGTGAAGCCTGTGATTCTGAGCCTCCATGATTGAAAGAGCTGAAGTCCAGTGAATTAAATTGGTGGTCCTGCAACAGTAAGGCTGGGAAGGAAAGAAATGGATGATGCTGGGTGTCCTCCAAAGAGTAAGGGTTTGTTCACACCAAGCGCGGAGCAGATGCAGAGCAGTTACAGACCGGATCAAAACTGCGTCCAATGTATTCCAATGGTATTTTGGGCTCTAGTTCACACCGCAGGGTTCAGTTCCAGAGCATGTGGAAAAACTGCAGCATGCCCTATTTTTTCTGCTCTGGAACGCAACAAAATGCATGCAAGCACCCTGGAACGCACTGAAAGACTATTTTAGACACACACAAAATATATATATATATTTTTAAAAAGGCCCGGAACGCTTCAACAACGCGGCAAAACACAGTGCACTGTAAGTGCAGAAACTCATGCAGATCTGGTCTGCATTTGGTGTGAACAAGCCCTAAATGAGGCAGGGTCTATATACCTTGCTGCAGCTTCCAATGCACATTATGAGAAGTGAATTCAGAGTAAGAAATATCCTTATTGGAGAGGAGCCGGTACTGTACAACTGTGCAAGACGGAAAGCAAGTCTGGATTTCAGCATTACACTTTTTATAGAAGGAATGGCGCCTGATCATGTTAGAAGTCATGTTTCTGACATATATGTGCTGGTATTTGTTTAGACCCATAATGTAATCAATTGTAAGGAAAGTGATTTTGTCCAGGCACAGCGTAGTGAATGCCCCCAACTCTATGTAGCTGTAGTTTTACACTTTCCATTTCACTATATTGCACACCACACTATTTGTTTTCTTTTTTACTTCCACCACTCGAAGCTTGCTCCTGTGATGGACTGCAATCTCAATACAAACTAGTAGTCCCATCACTGCAGCCATGTTTTAAAATGTATTTTATTGTTTATCCGATTAACCGATTAATCGAACTTAATAATCGGCCAACTAATCGATTTTGAAAATAATCGTTAGCTGCAGCTCTAAATTTGAGGCAAAAGGAAATACATTTGCTGGTTTTCCAGGGCTGGTCACTTGAGTGAGTAATAATGAGTTTAAATGGCAATAATGAGAATAGCAATGTATTTACTGTTCCTGTCCACCCAAAATAAACAGTGATCTTCACCCACATAACAAATTTTGCTTTAAAAGGGGTGTCTTAAAGCTAGTGAGAGGATATATTGTTAGTTATGTAGGTCCATGTCTGTCATTAAACTGCACTCTGTAGGTGTGTTGTGTATAAAGAGAGATTACATGTCTACATGTTCCCAGTTTTAATGATTTGCTGACATATTCTTTTATGTAGGACATCACATCAGTCCTGTCATCTCATAGTGACATTTGTCTTTAAATGCGCACTGCCAAAAAGAACTTCAGCACTTATGGGGGCTTTGTTAGTTCTTTCTGGTAGAACATCAGGATGTGGGTATTTAGGTAAGTGACACAACAATTACAGTACACCTTTAGGGTTAGTTCACACCAGCCTCAGTGTGTTCTGGCCCGCTTCTGCCCGGAATGCACTGGATCGCATTCTGCCCGGCTCACTTTATTTTGGGGCGGGAGTGGGCGTGCCGGTGCATTGAACTCAATGGCAACACAGCCACGCCCTCCGGCTGCAATGTGATCGGCCACACGGTAACGCGTGGCACATCAATGCCTGCATTCTGGTCCAGTGCGGTCAGAAAAAAGCTGCATGGGCTATTTTTTCTGACCGGAACGCAGGCATTGATGTACCACGCGTTCCCGTGTGGCCGGTCACATTGCAGCCGGAGGTCGTGGCTGCGGTGCCATTGAGTTCAATGCACCGACACGCCCACTCCCGCCCCAAAATAAAGTGAGGCGGGCAGAATGCGATCCAGTGCATTCCGGGCAGAATCGGGCCGGAACACACTGAGGCTGGTGTGAACTAACCTTAAATGTCATGTAAGGAACAAACCCTTGAAAACAATTGTTCATCTTATCTGGCAGTCAGGATTGGGCTACAGAAATCACATTATTTCACTGTAGTGCCATTTGCAGGACATGTCCTGTGTAGCCACGCCGTAATAAACGTCACAGAAAAGTTATAGTGGCTACACAGGGATTGAGGACAGGAATAACAAGTCATTATGTCAGGCTAACATATCCGTTTACTTCTTTACAGTACCAGGAAAACTCTCTTGCAGCTAGAGAGCTGTTTTCAATTTTGTGTTCCTCACCATTTTGCCTTCAGACCCAGGTGATCCCATACCTGGCTAAGCTCACAAATCCCCTGAGAAACCCAGGTAAGGAAGACACATATGAGACAAAAACATTGTGTCAAATATAGATTTTCTAATCGTCATTTAATTATTTATTTTTTAATTTCCCAGCACAAATTTCCTTTATCCAGGATGTTGGCCGATTACCTTTAAAGAGGCATTTTGCAAGGTAATTATTACCCATTAACTGTGTTGTCTTCTAAATGCTGCACTTCTAATAGGCGTATGCTCTGTTATTTCACAGTTGAATGTTAGGTGGTTTATTCTCAGAGCAAAACATGTGTACTGCCTGAGGAGTCAGCCGAAATCATAACAGTGGGTGGCCCTGCCAGCTAGACAAAAGCCGAGTACTCAGTTGACTTTTGTTCAAGGAGCTGGGCTGAACATTGTTGGCAGAACTGCCAATCTGCTGCAGTTACTGTATTTTGACAGCAGCTGGCACCGGCTGTCAGAATACAAATAGCCCGGGGGGCGAGGGAGCGCTATGTCTTCATCCACGCTGTTTAGAATTGATGGAGGAATCTGTTAGATTACTTTTTGTTCAGCCTGTGGGCTGAATGAAATAAACCTATTGGGGTATGATCACCTTTTCTTGTATTCAAGGAAAAAGCCTGTACTATTTCCCACTATGTTTTGCCTTTTGCACTTTTTAGGCCATGCCAGGTTCCCTTTAAGTCACATCCTTACTATAAGGTTCTCTTTAGCTATGGGGATAATTAAGAAATTGTGCTCCTTTGCACTCCTAGCTTGTTTTGTTGATGTTTTTAAAGACCAAAGTGTACATTTCTGTATTCGCTACCAGCAGGTTTTGGTATAATTTTGTATTTTCTATAGTAGTAATGTGATATCTCATCTGGAGTTACTGGCCCCTATCTTGGCCATCACCCTCTGTAATCGTTTGACTATACCGTATAGTCTTCTCCCATTTCCTTAAAGGAAAACTATGAGATGAGGGATTTCCACTCACCTCATAGTTCTAGCCGACCTGTGACAATGAGACTGTCACAGGTCGGCTCAGTAGATCGGGAGGTGAGCGAACACATACCGGGTTCGCTCACCTCTCGATCCTGTAATGGCTCTCTGCCGTGACGGGGAGGGGCTGGATTCCCCACTGCCCGCTCCGATCTGCCAGCGCTGACTGGCGGAACCGACGGGGGAGGGGGCGGGTACAGCTGGCTCTGCCTCTAGATAGGCAGAGCCAGCTGTCACTCACGCAGCTGGGCGGATCCTGACGTCTAAGTCGGGATCCACTCCGGCTGCGGCGTCTCAGTATGCTCGCGGTATACTGAGCTTAGGGTGACGGGAGGACGCTAGTTTGTGTCCTCCCGTTACCCTAAGGAGAACTATGGGGAAAAACACTGACCCCATAGTTCTCCTTTAAATCCCCTCTTCACTGCAGTAGAATGGTCCATATGCTTTTGCTAAGTAAAAGGAGAGCTGCGCAATCCATCTGCTGTAGCAATTTACTTAATACTGGCATATCAGTTTTGGTGTCATTTGGCCTGTAATTTGAAGTTATTGTCCTTTTGGATGTACTTATAATCTTGTTCTTCCAGAATGAAGCTTGAAGCATTGACAGACAAAGATCCAGGTGCAGATGCTGACAGCGATGAGGACGAAGATCCAAGCCATGCACCCAGTATAAAAGAAAGAAGTAACGATGCCATATCTAAAAGTGCAGATGGGCAAAGGGTGCTACTGCTTCCTTCCAGCCAAGGAGGGGACGCAGATTTGCCAACCAGCCAACCTCAACCTGTAGCAGCTGAAGCAGTTATGGAAGATGAAGAGTTAAAGATAGAGGAATATGACAGTGACTGAGATTTGTTGATATCCACCATTCACAGGACCTTTTGCCTCTACTGCCCACATTGAATTGTGGTGTAAATGGACATCATTATATTGCTATACCCCCACTTTGGTCTTTGGCAAACACGTCCGCCATAGTATCATATTTTTATTGGTCAAAGAAAACTGGTTACAAGATGAAAGTGCCAGAAAGACAGTTAATGGTCAAAGCAACCAGGCCCACATTTGTGTTTCTTCACACTGCTCTTGTGTACAGATGCAGTATTCCTCAGCCGAGTAGTCACAAGGTTATTGCAAGGTGACATATAATGTGAAATGTAGTTTATTTAAGTTCTGTGCTAAACTATTATTGTAAATAAAAAAACGTTTGTTTTTTTTTCTCCATTTTTTTTATTTTTTTTTGTTCAATTCGACACTACATGTCCCTGTTAAGGTGCCCATACACCTTACGATTATCGTACGATAATCGTATGCGATCGACTTTTCGTACGACAATCGTAACGTGTGAATAGAGTGCCCGACCGATAGTACTGTACAATCGTACGACTTTTGACGGCCAAGCATGTTTGAAAACTTTGGTTGATCGTACGATGTTCGCATGGTTGTTGGCGTTTCCGTCCGTCAAATGTCGTACGATTAACACTGCGCATGCGCAAACGAAAATAATTGCGGTCAATTACCGCAAGTCGTCCAGGTGTTTTTTTCTAACTACCGCTGATTGAACCTTGCGATAATCGGGGCAGGATGGGGCCGTCGTACGAAAATCGTACGACGGTTCGATCATCGGACGAAAAGTTTAGTCCGATAATCGTAAGGTGTATGGGCACCTTCACACATAGACATATGAGCACGACAAAACACTCAAGACAAGTAATCCCATTCATTTCTATGGCCCCTGTTCACACCTGAGCCTTTTGTCGCACAAAGTTTCCCATTGAAGTCTATGGGACCAAAAAACACTGTAACCTGCCAAAAAGTAACTCATGTACTTTTTCCAGCCTCAGGGATTTTTCTGCTTGCAACATAATGCTCAACACGGGCCATAGAAAGTGGAAGGATAAAGAGTGTGGTGCACTTGGGACAAATCTTGAGAACTATATACGTGTGATTCCACATTTGTGTATATTTGAACACGGAATATATGATTGAACTTTCCAGAGGACTATTATTTATAAGAAGATTCATTGTGAACACTTTTTTGATTGCATGTATCATTTAAGCACATATTTATTATAGAGATTGGTTTATGTATTGATCAAAATGTTACTTTGTTGGAGGATGTTTGCATGTCAAAATCAGTTTTCATCCAACTGGAGCTTCATGTTTTTATTAGGGATGTACTGATACCATTTTTTCCAGATAAGTACCGATACTTTTCCTCAAGTACCCGCTGATACCAATACCTTTTTTTTTTCTTTTCTGTGAGTGTGTCATGTGACAGTTTTTCTAAAATAGTACAGACTAATGATTTTAGGACGGTGGTGGAGAGCCAGGGCCCAGTCGCAGCTGCTGCGACTCTAGTAGTTCTGCCACTGGCTCCAAACTATAGAGGGCTAAAAATCTCAGCACTACATTATACAGCAATGCAGATTACCACCAGCTATAGAGGACTACAAATCTCAGCACAACATTATACAGCAATGCAGATTACCACCAGCTATAGAGGACTACAAATCTCAGCACAACATTATACAGCAATGCCGTATAATATGAAGCTACATACTCTTGTGTTGCTCACCAGGGCTGCGTGTGGGTCGGTGCAAAGACTCCCCAGTGCTGTGCCGGGTCTCACCATGGCTGTAGGGGCGGCGGGAAGGCGGAGGAGGTGTTCGGCTGGCCAGCGCTGTAAACAGGTGCTGCAAGGTCTCCACAAGGCTTCCGTGAGCAAGCTGCCCAGCAAGTGAGGCAGCCGCTCATGTTTAGACATAAAGAGCGCCGATTATTGTCATTTAGTAGTATCAGGGCATTTTGACAAGTACGAGTGAAAATACCCAGTATCAGTACCAATACTGGTATCTCTATCAGTGCGTCCCTAGTTTTTATGGCTATGCCCCAAATCCAATGCCATCAACTCCATGATCCTGCTCTTTATACCAGTGGTGCCTTTCGTGCATTTTTAACTCAGGTTTTTATCTCTGTGTCCCTGTTAAGTAGGTGCACCGTTGTATTTGTCTTGCTAACCATTATCACTTAGTAAGTAAGTGGAAATCCAAAATATTAGAGTTGTCACCAGGACAAGAGGTAAGGGTAAGTCATCCAATGGGCACATTGTTCCAGTAACAGCTGTGTGAGAGAGGAATTCCCTTCACTCTGGGGAGATTTCCTTTCATTTCCTGTTGTATGTTTATGATAGGACGTAAGGGGAAGTCTCCTCAGCCAAACACAGACAGCAGAAAATAACTTCCCACCCTTCCCTATTCTATCTAAAACGAGCAAACAAAACATTTTAACTGCAGTGCTCAAGGCCAGCTCACAGTATGTTTTCTCCATAGCAGCAAGCTGCATTTTAAGGGTTTGCTCACCTCTAGCAAAAAAATGTCCATGCATTCCAGGGTCTCCAGAACTGCACAGTTTTTAAATACAGGTGAAACTCGAATAATTAGAATATCGTGCAAAAGTAATTGCAGTAATTGCTGCAAGAGGGGCCCAAACCAAGTACTGAGTACATATGCATGCTTGTACTTTTCAGAGGTCCGATATTGTTCTATGTACAATCCTTGTTTGAGGTTGTGGATTTGGGGTTCTTGGGGTTTTCATGAGCTGTAAGCCATAATCATCACAGTGATGACAAATCACGGCTTGAACTATCTTGCTTTGCATGTAATGAGTCTATCTCATATATTAGTTTCACCTTTTAAGTTGCATTAGTGAAATAAATGACCTTTGCACGATATTCTAATTATTCGAGTTTCACCTGTAGAATCTTTAATTGTATACAGTCCCTGCAGGCCATGTGCAGCCTCTCCCAAGCCTGTCAGAAAAACTCCCAGGTCAGTGACTGTGATGTCAGCTTGCTGGAAGGGATGCTTTGGGAGTTACGTGTGCAATGTTTTTTTGTTTTTTTTAATATATGTGATTTTGGGTGGTTTTTGGTTATTTAAACAGGTTGACAAAAATCAAGACTGTTGTTTGATTGACCAAGACACAAACAGCAAAAAAAACAGCTGCCAGAGGTACAAACCCTTCCCCACTCTACTGAAAAAACAGTTTTTGTGTTGTCTTTATCATCTGATGGGAGACTTAAAGTGCCCATACACTGCTCGATTATCGTACGATAACCGTATGCGATCGGTGTTTCGTACGATAATCGAGCAGTGTGAACGGAGACGTGCGACCGTTTCTACTGTACGGTCGCACGTCTTCTGTCGAACCAGCATGTTCGAAAACCAGCCGGGAATCGTACGATTCTCGGCTGGTTAGAACGGTGCTCGGAAGATAAATGCTGAGCGGGCCGGTGTGCTGCCCGTTCAGCATTGCGGTCATCGGAAGCCCGCCCCTCAGGGGGGCGGGCTTGCGATGATCGAGAGTGCGATCTGCCTGTCCAAGATGGGCAGATCGTACGTTTTTTTAATCCCTTTACAACCATCGCAAGACTAAAGTCTTGCGATGGTTGTAGAGTGTATGGCCACCTTTATTCTCACTTCCTATTCTGACACCTGCCAAACAGATGGGAACAAAGGAGGTATAGTTACAGCAATAAAACAAAACTAGATAGAGGTTCTAAAACGTCTCCATTCTATCCAAAACTAATCAAAATGACTGGGCCAGCATCTCAGTCCAGGAAGTGAATGACCCTGGATCACGCCTGAGCAATGATGGCGCCGTTCTGAGGAGGAGGAAGAAAGATGAAGGCTCGGGGGCTTTGCTAGGATCTCCTTCAGAGGTAAAAACATAATTGCAAGTGTTATACAATGCTCAGCATGCACTTAAAGAAAACCTGTAATAGGAGAAAGAAGGAGGCTGCCATTGCTGGCCTCCTTTTGACAGGATGAGATGTCATGCTGCCTGTGACATCAGCAACGTTTTAGCCAAAATGAATAAAGGGGTTTTATCTGATGTCATCAACCACAATGTATCATATCCAATTTTATTGAAACATCATTCAAACCCATGACATTTTTTGTAATGGATTTTAATAATGTTTCAATACAATTGGATGTTACAGACTTTTGTGTATGATACATTGTGGTTAAAGGGTTTCTAAACCCTCCGGTGTTTCTGCATATATCTACTGTTAGCAAGCAGTAGATATATGCAAAAAGTTAAAAAAAAAAAAAAAAACGCTTTAAAAGGGGTTTAAACTTACCTGTGTCTTCCCCGCGTGCTCCCATCCGAAAATTCTCGGGCGGCAGCAAAGCTACTTGGGGCGGGCGCATGCGCAGTTCGGCCGGGATGCGAGGAGAGACACAAGGTAAGTCTATGGACGAGTGCACTCGCATGCAGACACCTGGGACAGGAAGCGCCAGCAAGCTCAGAGGAGTCCGTGCTGGATCGGAGACCCGCAGCAGCGCTGGAGGGACAGATGAAAACAACAGGAAAGAAGAAGATCGGATTAAGAGACATCAGTTAAGGTAAGTGCTGACATTTACATGGGGGGGAGGGGAAAAGTTTTTGACTTTAATGTCACTTTAATGACATCAGATCATACCCCATTATTAATTTTGGCTACAGCTTTGGTGATGTAGCAGTGTGATGCCATAAGTTTTTGGAAACCCTACTCAACCTATATGTATATGCCTGTGACATCAATATTTTGGTAAGGTGACCTGGAACAAGCATGCAGAAAAGGAAAGTCAGAGAGAAATCACCACTCCAGAGCTTCATACTTTTAGAAGTCAGCTGCTTAGAAGGTAAACGCAGCAAGACAGCCAAGTACTAGAATTTTTAGGAGAGGTCATCGTTATCCACACTTCCTCACTACAGGTTTCCTGTCACATAAAAAAGGATTGGCTGCTTGGACCACTTGAATATATCAAACTGTTTCAAGGGCTTGTAATGTATACTTACATTGGTAAACTAAGCCGAAAATTGATCCCTTTGAGACGGAAGGACTCTACCTGAATGAAGGCAAGCCTATATGAGCCAGGCATGCCCAGCCAAATATTAAGGGACAGACATACGCTGACTGAATGTTGTCACGGCAGGTCTCCGCACTTAGATTGGAGGGAGATCAGCACACTTCCAGCAGCTAATCTCCTCTCTTTTTGCTGAACCCGGAAGCGATGTGCATTACCGGTTTCAGTGTATCATTTCTCCAGCTGGTGAAGCACGATCTCTGCTTCATCAGCTTCTTTGGGGTCCCTAGGTGACATTAGGGCAGTGGTACTCAACCTGTGGGTCGCCACATGCCTTCTGCTGCGCTAGGTGAGAGGCTCCTCAGCCTCCTCCTAGCACAGCAGTGTCAGTTCCACCGCTGCGCCGCCAGATGCCGCTGCAGCGGCCGCGTAGGAGCAGAGGGCAGGCAAGTGTTTTTTTTTCTTTCTACATTTAGCCCTACTTTGGGCAAGCAGGGCTAAATGTACAGCGGGGAGCTAGTCAAGTGAGTTCTACAATATTAAAATGAAAATTATAAAAGAAATAATAAGAGAAATAAAAATGTTAAAAAGTAAAAATACAAATAATAATTATAAGAATAATTGTAATAATAATAAAGAAAATTCTGTTGGGGGTCACCACAACTTGGTAAATGTTACCAAGGGATCCCAGCCCTAGAAAGATTGAGAACCACTGCATGAGGGTCTAATAGACACCTGATGTCCCCATAAAGAGGAGCTGTCACTGTGTCTGTGCAATCACATAGGGGCATGCTAGGCAATAAAGTTAAGTGTAAAAAAAAAAGTAAAAAAAAATTACATTAATCCCCCCCCCAACAAAAACATTGTTTCAAGTCCTCCGTCCCCACATACACACATGCATCTGGTGCCCCCTGTGTGTAAGCGACAATTGCACCACACATGTTACATATCACTACAAACGGCCATACACATCTCCCTGCCTGACTCTTAGCATCCAGGGACACTCTGGCCAGCATCCCGCCTAGTGACACTACTAGTTGCTAGGAGCTGGGTGGGACACCAGGGGCACAATTTGTTGTAGATATACCTCTGCATCTATGTCCAAGGGGGGAGATTTCCTGTCATTCCCTGTTCCAAAGCCACCACAGGAAGTTAGTTGAAATTGCTCCAAAGTGCAGTAACTCCCCTTTTGCACAGTTGCTGCCAGAACTAGTGTCCCCATTGGAAGATTTCCTGTCTATTACTGTTCTGGTGACAACCCAAAATTTGCAAAAATGAAGTGCTGGCTTTACCTTATTATGAGTAGGCCAAGCTGGGTTGAGGTGAACAGTGAGAGTTTTATTCTAAGTGCCTTTGTTATTTATAATTAGTTGTTTAGAATTACATTATAAATAAAATCCTTTTAATTAAAAATGAGAATAAAGTAAAGTCCAGTGCTATCTATTGTTGTATATGGAGAGTGACTTCCACTAATGCACCGATGTCACAGCACAGGACAGGTAGAGGCACAGGTGAAGGGGCGGCGCCCAGCCCGGGGTCACGTGACAGAGGAAGGGAGAGGCCACGTCTGTGTGTGCGGCGATCAGAGACAGACCCCCGGGAGACAGTGACAGCCCGGGGACAGCGGCGGACTGAATCGGTCTACTTCTGCTCATTACACCCGGTGAGACTCCGAACACACGTCCTGCTATCCTCTCCTGTCTGTCCGCCCCTTCCTTCATAGAAACTGATTTGTATTTCCTGCCAGAGATCCAATGAGTCATTATAAGTTTGATCTATCCAGGGACACATGGCAGATGACGGTGGGGAGGTGTCACCGTACGAGGGGCCCCGGGGGCTCCCGATGTGAGTGGGCTCACGGTCATTCTTGGTGCTGAAAGTAATCCAGTCCGGGAGTGGTGGTGTGTCCTCTTCCTGCCAGTGTGCAGTAATGGAAGCTTTCCTTCCACCCTCCCTGTTCATTTCCTGTCATACATCCGATGTTCTCAGGAATGAGACATTTATAAAGACGTTGTCATAGGGCAGCTTCCTGTTTCTGGAAGCTTGGTGCGGAATTCAAATATTGTGTGTGTAGCAGGAAATTAGGCTTGTCACCATACTGTTTCTGGGTGTTGCTGACATCAAATGCTGTGCTACAGACCTACAAATCATCAAAACCCTTTAGAAAAAATCATGTCAAAGTTTAATTTCATTCTTAAAGTCGGTGCGGCTGTTCGTGCCTCCGCCAACACTGTTGCGTCGTCCATATACAGATCCTTTGACAGGATCATGTAGTTCTCAATGGAATACGAGTGCAATGACATCACACTTGTAGTCCATTGACACGTCCTCCATGTTACTGAATGTCCGTTCCGTGGACGGGAGGAAGAGTCTGCAGGAGCCAGAACGTTGCACCCATGATCCACTGATCACGGCTGCAATGCTTCACTGGCGCCAATGCAAAAGAAAAAACATGCAGATTTTTCCTTTATGAAGCAGTGCGCTTTTTTTTTTTTATGACAGTTGGACCCTTTAATCTTTTAAATATGAATATTAGATCATTCAAACGATGTATTCCACCAAGGTGAAGCCCCCTGTCTTTGTGTTGGATGTGAGGTCACTTGATTAGGAGTCACCATACCGTACAATCATCTTTAAAGGAGAACTATGGGGTTAAGGCTTTTCCCCATAGTTCTCCTTAGGGTAACGGGAGGACACAAACTAGCGTCCTCCCGTCACCCTAGGCTCAGTATACCGCGAGCTGTAGCTCGCGGTATACTGAGACGCTGAAGCGGATCCCGACAATTGTGCCGGGATCCGCCCAGCTGCGTGACTGACAGCTGGCTCTGCCTATCTAGAGGCAGAGTCAGCTGTACCCGCCCTGTCCGTTCCGCCAGTCAGCGCTGGCGGATCGGAGGGGGGAATCCAGCCTCTCCCCTGTCATGGCAGAGAGCCGTGACAGGATCGAGAGGTGAGCGAACGCCGGTAGGTGTTCGCTCACCTCTCAATCTACTGAGTCGACCTGTGACAGTCTCATTGTCATAGGTCGGCTAGAACTATGAGGTGAGTGAAAAGCACTCACCTCATAGTTCTCCTTTAAGGGCTTGTTCACACCATCTCCAGACCAGATCTGGATGCGTTTCTGCAAACCCAATCATGTACGTTTTTGATGTGTTCCGGTGTGCGCTCCACTGATTTTTTTTTTTTAGTTTCAATTGACTTTCTAGTGCGTTCCAGTGCATTCTGGTGTGTGCACTCCAGACCACAGAAAACAGTGCGTGAGGTATCTTTTTTAAACGTTCTGGAACACAGTGGTGTGCACCGGCCTGATTTTTCCCGTAGGAATGAATGGGCCAGACACAAAAACATTCTGGTCTGGATAAGGTGTGAATGGGCCCTAAAACAGAACTACAACCTCCTCTACTTTTCGGCAAGGGAAGGCGCCATCTTAGCTTCTATCTGGATTGCAGTTGCTGCACATGGGATCAGCTATAACACCAGCCATTTCAGGGCTTGAGAGTTCAGACACTGGCAACCTGACCGTTGGCATGCCCTAAAAGTAACTGTTTTGGGAGACATTAGGTTGGTGGGTAAAGTTCCTCTTAAATGTAACAAAACCTTGTAGTATTATGACCAACCTTACCACTTTTGTATTCCATTGAGATCTACAAGTCTACCTGACGTGGACTCCATTCACAGATCCTATCAAAGGATTTGTGAATGGATGACGCGGATGTGTGAGCAGAGACGCACACAGTCGCACCGAATTTGAACAACAGCCGGCAGGGAGAAGAACCCTAGATAAGTTGGGGGGGCAGAAGGGGTGCATTGTGACCATGTTTGAAGTCATGGGTGTAACATGAGACATGGTCAGAAAAGTAATTAAGCTTTTAACTATAGACCAGCCAAGTCCCATTTGAAGCCGTGGTTGACATGTCATAGTATTACTGGTTGTGGTGACTATTTATGTGTTTGATATTCGATATTGCAGTAATGAACGATGTTCTCTCTGTGTCTTTTATGTACAGAAGAACCTACCATAGCGATGTGTGACACCCTGGCTAATGAACATGGCTGCCCATCAGAAGAAGAGGAAGACTTCATGGCTGGAGGAGACCTGGGAGAAGGCTTTGGGAGAAAACCTGGTGGCTTGTATGAAGCTATAGAGGGGACAATGGCCAGGACATTGAGACTGAAAAAGGGATCTGATGCTCATGGTCACTACCATCTTGTAAAGAAGGGTGATGATGTTTCTTCTGTAAGATGCCATGGTGGAAAATACTGTAACTCTGAGGACAGAAGTGTTTTAAGACCCTCCACAGAGGGCTACGTGCGGTGCAGGCAAAACAGCATTGGTAAGACGATTGTGAGAACTATATTTTTATTCCTCACTTGTACAGTTTTCCATATGTCTTGATTGCTAGGGAAGTTCATATAGCAGGGGTAAGCAACCATGGCACACCAGCTGTTGTCAACCTTCAAATCCCATGAGGCATTGCAAGACTCTGATAGCCACAGGCATGACTCTCATAGGCAGAGGCATGATATGAGTTGTAGTGTAACTACAGCTGGAATGCCAAGGTTGCTTACCCCTGGCATATAGTGTCTGAACATTGTGGGGAATGACACTGTTCAGACAACAGAATTAGTGTATGCATGCGTTCCACGGCCTTTATAAAGGCAGATCTAGTCAACAGGCAGTGAGATCTATGGTTGCCCAGACATTGGACCTAGGTACCTAAACAGAGACATGTGACTTGGTGGTGATGGCAGATCTGTGCCAAAAAGGAAGGTTAAAAAAAAGTTCTTGAAGGGCTCACAACAGTGGTGTTGGCAGTGGGCCACCAGGTCACAATAGGCTGAATAATAAGCTGAGTTTGCAAGCAAACATCTCTGGGACCTCCTTTGATGTTGTCTTCATGCTACTAGTTGAATCTTAGCTTGCTGCCTTGAAAATACATAGTTGAAGAGGAGAGGGGGTGGCTGCCTGAAATACAGGCAACTGAAAGACTCCAAAATCTTCCTGGGATGATCAAACCTCATGTTTTTCTGACTGCTAAAGCTTCTGCATTTCCTAGAAGTGGAGATATTTCCCCACCTCTTCCTACTGTCCTCAAATTTCGGTTGGCCACATTTCTGTGCGCACCTTTCCTCGTTCACAGCAATGCATTTTGATCTCAACAAAACGTGAGTCTTTACCTATGCGCGTCTATTGCATGTAAAAATTTGCAAAATGCACATAAACGCGCAAACCATGCGAGGGGAAAAATGTGCATAAAAACACACGGAAGCGCTGACGCCTAGGAGTGAACAGAGACTTAAAGTAGACCTTGGTTTTTGCCAGTCTGTGGACATTAAAATATTTACGTGCATTCTTAACAAGCAATAACCAAGCTTTTTTAAAAAAAGCCCTGACTGGCCTTTGTAGCTGCAGACGTGGTGGAGCGATTCATCTTAAAGATCACAATAGAAGCATTTATATAATTTAACTCTGGTCTTAGCATTTTTTCTCTCCCCTCTTTTTTGTGAACCTGCTCTGTGCTTACATTATAGAAGGCCAGTAGGCTGCCAAGTGACTGCTACCAGGGTGGAGCTGACGTAGACAGAGAAAGTGAAAGTGTTTCCTGAGGTAGATTTGGAGTAGGACTTATTGTAACGTGAATGTAAAAGCAGTAGTGAAAGGTTGGACTCTTTGTCAGGCTTATATTGCATTCTGTTTCCCCACTAAGGAGATACACCCCTATAGTTAACGCGGTGACAACCCAGAAAGTGAGGAAAATCCTCCAACAGAGATGCCTTTTCCTGTAACAGCTCTTTGAAATGGGAATTCCATTGACTTTTGAGATCTATACTCTCATTTTGTGTTGCATCTGTGAGGCAGGAAGTAAAGGGAAATCTCCCCAACAGGAAACAGGAAGGTAAAAATCACATCATAGGTTTTGGCTTGACATATGCTGTAAAGCGTATTTGCAGCTTGTTAGCACTATTCAAATACTTTATTGTCCATAGCCTGGCCCAAAGTCTTCATTTATTTGAAAGACCTGACTTTTTTTTTTCTTTATATTGGTTTACCTGTGCCAGAGCCTAATTCCTGATTACTGTCTAAATACGGACTCCTCAGGCAAGGTGGTGTGTAATATAATCTCATTTATCTCTGGAAATATAACAGAGTGTACAAGGACACCATTATTACTGTACACACCGTGCTGTACATCTTGGCCAATAACCTTACGCAGGCCGTTATAAAGAAGAAATCCAGTCTAGCTGAAAGACACACTATTGTTTTATAATAATGAGCTATTAAAATGTTTTATTCTAACCAGTTTACACGTTCACCTACAAGGGAAGAGTGGCCAAATAAAGTACTTGACAAAGTGAACCTTTTGTGTTGGTGCCCACCCTCTCCACTATGTCATCATGATTGGCTACATGGCTTACATAGGAGAACATTTGAAAACTCTTGTTGCACAATGGGCAGCAATTTAAAGGAGAATTATGAGGCGAGTGATTTTTCACTCAGCCTCATAATCTGAGCCGACCTGTGACAATGAAACTGTCCCCGGTCGGCTCAGTGGATCGGGAAGTGAGCGAACACATACCGTCGCTCGCTCTCTTCTCGATCTATCCGTGCAGAGAGCCGTGACTGTCAATTTACGGCTCCCTGCAGGGATTCCGCCCTTCCCCTGTCCGATCCTCTAGCGCTGACTGACGAAACGGACGGGGGAGGGGGCGGGTACAGCTGGCTCTGCCTCTAGATAGGAAGAGCCAGCTGTCACTCACGCAGCTGGGTGGATCCAGACAGTATTGTCGGGATCCATTCCGGCTGTGGCGTCTCAGTATACCACGAGCTGTAGTATACTGAGCTTTGGGCAATGGGAGGGCGCTAGTTTATATCCTCCCGTTACCCTTAGGAGAACTATGGGGAAAAGCCCTGACCCCATAGTTCTCCTTTAACAGACCGAGTTACTTGTTACTTGCTGATAACTAGCACTGGCCACACAAAAGAACCTAAATTCAAATCACTGTCATGATGGCAAAAGCATGATGATGTTTTTAGACTTTTCACCAGAAAACCAATTATTGGATTTTTTTTGCTGCCAATTTGATTTTATTAAAGCGGATCACGGCACACTGCAGCCTACTAGAATTGCCCCTCTCTAATGTTTCACCCAATACGAGCCTGACCATAGAACATGGTGGGGCTCTCTTTGAAGGGAAACCAAAGGTTCCAAGGGCGGGGGATTTTCACACAGGCATGGAGAGGTGACATCTCTCTACATGTCAAGAGGGTGCATAATACAGTTACAATGTATACTTTGAATAGCCATCTGCTAATGTGAGCCTTGAGCTTCAACTATAATCACATTTCTGTTTATGTTTAGATGCAAGCTCTGAAGTCTCCAGTGAAGACCTGAGACAGCGTCTTCAAGATTTGACAGAGGTAGGTGTCAGAGGTACAGGTCTTCTCCCTTTTTGGGGGTCAGCAGATGCTCTCATATCTTTTAGTCTCATAGGTTTGGAAAGGATATTGGAGCAGCAGTCAAGAAAGCTCTAAATAGGCCAATATATTATTCCTCCTGATAATAGTTAGCTGAAATTATGCTGGGGGCCATGAATAGCCAATGAACACAGAACACACTAGTGAGCTTAATACAATTAACTGTCACCTCTAGGTGGACAACCTCATGTTAACTTATACAGGGGTTAAGGGTCATTCTGTATGGCCCTTCTGAAGGTGCTAGCCTTCCCTCTGCCATTGCCATAACTGTCAACTGAAAACATTGGAGAGAAGATTTCCCCACTGGTATCCTGGTTATAAATAAGAAACCCTGTATGGATGAATCTGCACTATCGTGTAAAACTACCCGTGAAGACTATGCTTACCAACCCCATTTCATATCATAGTTTGGGGTGTGAAATATAGTACAGCTTCATCAGCCCATTCCTCAGGTACCCAGTAAGCCAGTTAATGATTGTGGATCATTAATTGGATACTTGTGTCCACAGAGGGGAGTCCTGAAAATCTGGCATGTTAAAGTGGAACTCCAGACAGCTAAGCCATGCCTTTTTATTTCCCTGCAGTTTTCCAGGTGTTATGCAATACACCTTGGTCAAGTGTCCCTCATATCCTGCAATTAGATAGTGAAGGAGCAGATTGATAAGGCAATTCCTGTGCTCTTCACTTCGCAAAGCAATAGAGTGCTTATTTGCTCCGACCCTCATTTTCACTGCCAGAAAGCCAGTACCTCCTTCTCTGTAATTAAGCAAGTTGTATACAAAAATACACGGAATGGCATTCATTACATAACTGGATGAAATATAAAAAATACTATCTGCCTGGTATTCAGCTTTAATGGTACATGAAAACTAGAGTCAGGGAAACACTGGGCGTCCCTGCTTTTCTTTACAATGATCTTGTTTCTTTGAGAATGTTCCTAGTTTGGTTTTGCCTCCTAATTGGTTTTGGAGTTTTACCAGTATTTGCTTTTAGACACATTGACCTGGGATTGTAAGTCCTTCTTAACCAGTTATACAAGTTCCTCAGCCTCAGGACTATACACTGCTTACAGTAGAGAGAATGAATGTATAGAATAAGCAGTGCTTTTTCTGCAGAGAGTGTACCAGTGCTTTAAATAATGACTAATCTTTTTTTAAAGGAATTGGATTTCATAATTCCAAGACAAGTTAGTTTTACAGAGGTTGTGAGCTTAAGGGAGCTGAAGTGGTACACAACAGGTTGTGGTTACTATTAAGCTTCAAGGGAAGAGAGGTCTTGCATGAATTTGCAGACCTGTGTCTTCAGAGTGCTCCATAAACTGCTAAGCATTCAGTGGAAAGGTGAGGAAATAGAAAAGAGTGGATTCTGCTGGTACCGATTTATCAGAGGAATAATGTGTCCGATGTCACTTGTAAGTGGCCAGGCTGTGGTGTCTACAGGTACCCACATAGGCCAAAATGACTGGATAGAGTGACTATGATCTCACAATTGAGTGTGCTATTAGCTGTTGGATACAGGCTACACAGTGCATTCTCCGCCTACAGTTGAGCTACCAGTGAATTGAGTTGTGATGTTTATCTGTTCACATTTGGTATTTGTACATTGACTGTGCATATGTTTGAACAATGGTTGTTTCTAGAGGTGCACCGAAATGAAAATGTAAAAAAACGAAATTAAAAAAAAAAAATGTCAGACCGAAACCGAAATTTGTTTTTTATTTTAACTTTAAAAAAAAAAATGTATATTTTATTTTTTATAACTTTTTACATTTTTAAAATATTTGTATTTATGAATTTTTTATTAAATATTTTAATTTGTTTACTTTTAGGGACTTTGGGGAAATGTTAGGGGTCTAAACAGACCCCTGATATTTCCCTTTTAAAATAGAAAAAGAGGACACAGAGTCTTCAATCTCCTCTTTTTCTGCAGCCCCTGTTATAAATGAACATGAGTGTTCCTGTTCATTCATAACATGAGGACATAGTGTGTTTACTATAACCACAATCATCAATGAACAGGAGGTGATGTAGATCACTTCCCATTCATTCATAATTGAGGATATAGTAACCATACCATTCCTCAATTATGTACAAACACTCAGAGATCACTAAGTGTTTGTACCCTGCTCTCCTTCCTGACAGGCTGTCACAGGAGGCTGAGCGAGTGGAGCTCAGCCTCCTGTGACAGCACGGGCTTTCTCTGCCCACACCGCTCACCTCCGATCTGTGACAGGAGGCTGAGCGGTGCAGGGAGGAGAGACGCCGGCCGCGCACAGTGCTCTCCTCCTGCAGCGCTCGGCCGCCTGTGAAAGTTTCTCTCCTCCCCGCTCGGACACAGAGCAGCGCCCAGCGTGGAGGAGAGAAAGCACGGATGCGCAGCTGTATCGGCCAGAAAATTGCACTTTCGGCATTATGCCAAAAGTGCCATTTTCGGTCGATATGTTTCAGCGGCCGATGTATCGGTGCATCCGTAGTTGTTTCCCAAGAAATATATATATTTGAAAAGTAGATCTCCAGACGAAAAATAGTGGGAGCCCCTGGTCTAGATGAAGCTGTTTTTCTGTATGTTGTCCTATGTGACAAGAAATCTATCCTGCATTTTATCATTGTTCTTGTCAAGGCTGCAGGTTCAAACCTGGATTCAATCTAGTAAAGACCGAGCTTATATAAAGTCAAGCAACAGTGTAACTAGCCATGTAACTTATGTAGGACCCTAGTGCAGTAGAGGACCCAGCGGAGGTTTAAAATTATTTTACTTTGGGGGTCCCATCATGGATACAGTGAAGATCTCTCTGTGGGCAACAATGACACTTAATATACTTGAATAAACATTTTAGTCCCAGTTGATTTTGATTTGTTAACTTATCTCACCGCTGTGTATCAAACATGTTTCATTCATTGCTCTAGGAAGTTGACTTGTTAAGAGTTGAACTTGAGGCTTCTCAAAGACAGCTAGATGGGAAAGATGAAGCACTGAAGATTCTGCAGAGCATGGTTAGTTATATGGAGCGTCTCACTACACGTACATGCGGCTGAATTTGCAGCATGCATTCAGTATACAGAGAATGTTAGTTAGTAGTAATAACTGCAGCATATGTTTATTTTTGTGCTTTCATTTGCTACTGTAAATACAGACATATATGATTACATTTTTTGATGGAAAAATTGTTTCCCATAGTATCCATTCTCCTGAAAAGGCTCTTCATTTCAAATTAATAAAGTACATGACACTTAAAATTCTACAAACCCTGGAAAAATTACAGGATAGGCATGATAAGCAAAGGTTCACTTTATGAAGGGAAGCAGTGTGTTCATACCATCTCTGTACTCCCCTGCCACCAGGCTGCTAAAGAAATACTCCGTACTTCCGGTTGGGCAACCATGCAACACTCCCCCAGTCTCTGCACAACGCCGCAGCCTGTGCTTGAGTTGCCAAACACTAGGTCCAAGAGGTGTCATGTGGGCATGAGTATAGGAAGTTATGGACACCGGCACTCCAAAGTAGAATAACGTCTTTTTATTGACGTGTCATGCAACAATACACTTATTGCAACGTTTCGGGGTCACACAGGATCCCCTTCATCAGGCAGAACAAGTGAAAATTACAAACCGATATGGACAAGTATTAACACACATCCTTGTATGTGAGGTGACCAATACCACTGCCCAAAAGTGATCCTATGACGTCATTTCCCGCCACAATTCAAAATCATGTGGGCATGAGGGACAGCATGCATAGTCATGTGTAGGCTTCAATTTCCTGAACGCCGTACAGGTTCACTGTTGGCAAGATGGTACAGGTGTCAAGTAAAGGTAACATTTTCCCCATTTTATAGAAATTTGTCGGTGCTAAAACAAAAACAGAGGCACCATGACCCACAAATAGCAAGGCTGCGCCCCAATTACAGGTTTTTCAAAAGATCAATAGTCAGGAACTATATAATACTACAGATGACCCATTTTCTGTAAATCCTGGCTCAATGTTCTTGAAAGCAAGGATCTGATAATATGGTATGAGACTTGAAGAATGCCTGACACGGAGAACTGGTATGGTAATTCTTCTGATGATTTAAAGCCTCAGCTATCAATACACAGAATTAGATATTCATTTGCATTTTTCAGGCTGTGTTTGATAAGGCAACCGGTCACACCAAGGAAATGCTGCAGAAAGCGGGGGAGCATCGGAGATCCCTCGAAAAGGTAAGAGTCACGTTATTACAGTAACATGTAATACATTAAACTCTGGGAACTCAGACGCTTACTGAATGCCGTTGTTTATTAACCTTCTGCTGACCCAATATGCCCCAAATTCTCGATCACATATCAGTTTAATCCTCTACAAATCTTCCATACTGACAAGAAATGTTTGCTTGATCTCTAGTGTCTTGAATTGGTTTCATGGCTCTAATGCCCTCTGCTCTTATCTAGAATCATTTAGAAAGCATTGGGTGCCTTCTCTCCTTGACTCACGCCATATATAGGTTTGAAAATAGTAGTTAGTCACATTTAACTGGACTCGTTCTGTAATGTTGAAGACCATTTCGTAGCTTATCTGAGCCACATGTTCAGTTCTAATGAGTGCCAGGAACGTACCCCAACATTTATATCCACGCAGAGATCACAGTCACCATGGAATGTGCCAAGGCAGATGTTAATTGTCGTAGAACAGTATGGTAAGTGTGAACGTTGTCAAACCACCCTGTTCTAGTTGTATAATCCCATTGTTGGTGTCATGAAGTCTATATGAGTACTAATTATTAGATTCTTGATGAATGAAGGTGTGAATTGTTGTCAAATCACCAGGGTAGTGATGTAAAAACTGTATTATATGAGTGACACGAAAGGGGAGCCCACCCACTGCGACTCGCTAACCGGAGTGGGTTCCTCGTCCGTAGGAGGAGGGAAGGTGCTTACTTTGGGCTGATAAAACACTCTTTGTGAAACCATCGTCACAGCATGTAATACTACAGCCTGCCACTGGAGGACGACACACCCAAAGTTAGCTTGCGGAACACACACGCAGATACAAATCTTACCTCCAATCTGGTGCACAGATACAAATCTTATATCCAATCTGGTGCACTCTAAGTGATTACCACACAATTCTGTGATTCCTCAAGCTAACCGACAAGCTAGAATCCTTGTTTTACCACTTACCCATTGCTCACACACACGACTCGCGGTAGTCTGCCACCACATGCAATTCTTCCACGGACTGGTCTGCTAGGAAACCATACACACACAGATCCTTCTCTGGCAGATCTGCTAACATATACACACTGACACGCACGCATGCAAATTACAATCACACACTGCAATTTCATACAGATTAATGGTGACCTTATAACCGAGCATACAGACACAAATAACCAGGGCTTGAAAAATCCACTTGTCCACTCGTCTGTGACGAGAGGACGGTGGAGCCCGACGAGCAGCTTCCCGGCCGGCCGTTGTAATTACACTGCCGGCCGGGAGCTTTACATTCAAGCGATCGATCACTTGTATTAGCAGCTGTCACTGCCGTTGCCGGTCCCGAGATCCGCTGTGCCCGATACGGCCGGGACCGGCAACGGCTCTGTAACAGGAGATCAAAGGGAGTTCAGTACACGAACTCCCTTTTATCTCAACTCAGTCCACGAATGCAGGAAGTGATGTATATTACATCACTTCCTGCATTCAGTGTCACTCTCCAGCTAGAGAAGCTGATGAAGCAGATCTCTGCTTCATCAGCTTCTCTGGGGGTCCCTAGGTGACATTAGGGGTCTTGGAGACCCCTGATGTCTCCATAAAGAGGACCTGTCATGTAAATTTGCTATCACATAGGGGGCTTCTTAGCCACCCATGTAATAGCAATAAAGTTGTGTAAAAAAAAAAAAAAATTAAAGAAGCATAAAAAAAAAACTTTTAAGTCCCCGCCCCCCACATACACACGTAGATATGCGTCGGGTGTGCCTACGTGCGAAAACGACGATTGCGCCTATTGTGCCGCACATGTTACATATTGCCGCAAACGTCGGAGTGAGAGCAATAATTTTAGAGCCATTAATCACTGATAACACTAAACTGATGAGCGGTAAAAGCGTTTTAATCGTCGCCTGCGGGCTTTTTTTGCGATTTTGCAGGCGCACGCAATTTTAAGGCTTGACATGTTTGGTGTCTATTTACCCTACGTGACCCTGACTTTTATGTTTTACTAAAAATATTGGTAAGAATAAATGTTTTATAACAGAACATAGGGAAACTTACGTTCCCCGTGGTGATTATTAACCTCCAAAAGAAAGCTCTATCTTTTCCCCAAAACATTTTAACATAAATTGCAAGGTGATAGTCCGGTCATGCTGACTGGTGACATTTTTGACTGACTGGTCAGACACCATCAAATTTTTCAAGCCCTGCTAATAACAATGACCAATGTCTCCAGGAGGATGAATTTGTAGTTTAGTACACTAAAAGCCACTTATTAATTTTATGGTTTAATATACATAGGCAGGCAGGCAGTGCATAGAAAATATGTACAAAAGTAGAAAGAAAGGCAATGACATACAACAAATATTGGCTAATGACATAAAATAAATAGGAGAAAAAACTTTACCGTTGGGCAGTATTGTTTGTCCTACAGGGAGAACGCCGGAAATCTGTAAACGCTGTGTAAACGCTGTGGGGGGAGTTTATCATAACCGGAGCAGACAAAATCTGGAGCAGCTGTGCATGGCAACCAATCAGCTTCCACCTTTCATTTTCAAAGCCTAACTGGACAAACTGAAGAGAGAAGCTGATTGGTTGCCATAGGCAACTACTCCAGATTTGATAAATTCCCCCAGGCCCCCCCCGGTGTTCTTAAATACACTCTCCCAGACGAATACAAGTCCCATGATTCCAGCCCCCCAATTTATTGGGATCTGAGTGTGGAATGGGCTGTAGTCCTTTGGCCAATCCTTTCAGCTTACCTGCTGGGAGGAAAGGTTCTGCCTTCTAAAGTGGTCATAAGATATTTGGGCCAGCCGGTTCTGATGTCTGGATTAGGGAAAGGACTTCAGAGTGTCAGCCCAACCGCAACAAGTCCACTCACCGCATTGCTGCTGCAAGTATACCCCAAATAACCATTTTGTCAGTTTCAAGGGGATTGTGTCAAACCGACACCTACAATTTTATATGGGCACGTATGACAACCATTCCCAGATGGTGAGGTGCCAGTGTATAGAGATATCTTTTGTCCCCGGCTGTGGTCTGTAGTCGAAGAGTCCAAAGATGCACAGTTCTATCTTGGCCATTTAACAGCTGGGTGTGAATTAGGCCCGAGCTGCCTATTCAAATTCTAACGTTGACATCTGCTCCTTTGTGAACATCTGATCAGCGAATTATAAAATATCTGGTGATATCAATTCTTCTATACATTGATATCAACTCTTATGAATTCCTTCTATACATTACATTGATATCACAATGAGGAAAACAGATACAGTTGAATCCCCTTTTTAGGGATGATTGCTCCAGTCTGGTGTAGATTGCCTCCTTCACACCTCTTGTGAACCAGTTGGCCCCTTTGTACAAATTGTGCCCCTCACTATCCTTGAAAGAATGTCCCTTTGCTTTAAGGTGAAGGAAAACTGTCTTGACTTGTCAAATTTGCCTTCATATGTTTTCCCATTAATTTGTTGTTTTGTCTCCCCAATGTACATATCTTTGCATTCCTCATTACACTGAAATACATGTACAAATGTACTTTGCTTGTGTTTGGGTGTTAGGTCTTTTGGATGTGCAAGCCTTTGTCTCTGTGTATTGCTTGCCTTGAAAGACGTTGGTGTAGCAATAAGATACATATTGTTATATACTTCTACAGAGCTGAAAATTCATTTGATGAGGTATGCAAGGATTACAAAATAGAAAAGGTGTTTGTAGATGCAGAAGGACAAGTAACTCTTGTAGAACTGAGTAGAAATACTGGCTTGGTCCCCTAACTCAGCACAACCGTACAAGTGAACAGAGACTGCAGAGTCAGCTCCCACAGATGTCCTACTCTGTCCTCACTGTAATATAGGGTAGAGTGCCATTATCCTTTTACTGCCTGCGTGTGTGTGTATTGAATGATTTGGCTTAGTTCAGCTTTTCTACTCTGGCTCTTTGGAACCAGCTAGAAGCTTCACATTTGGATGCCTGATTGATGGGTATCTACAGACTGGTAATATTAATTCAAGCAAATTCCAGGAAACTTACCTTTTGTGTATGTTCTTGATTTCTTTGGTAGCTGTTAGACACAACGATCCATTCATTCTTTTTAGATCTAAGTCTGGGTCTGGTTACTCTCTTCCAATATACACTGACTGAACAAACATTATTGTTGGAAAGTTTAAGATTCATCATTGTCTTAACTGTATTCATTACTTTTCTGGCTGATAAACCTCACCGCCTGTACTTCAGTTGGTTATACAGGCAGTCCCCGGGTTACAAACAAGATGGGGACTGTAGGTTTGTTCTTAAGTTGAATTTGTATGTAAGTTGGAACAGGTACATTTTTTAAGTGTAACTCCAGCCAAAAAAAATGTATTTTGGTTTTGGATAGCATATGGAAGGGTTTACCCCCTGTAAAGTTTGTTTTGCTGTGTGTGCCCCCGTTCAGAAGATTTCACCTCACTTTCTGTCCCTGTGACAATTGGATTTTGAAAATGTTGGGTTGTCGTGGAAACAAGGATTGGTGATAAAGCTTCAGTGGGGACACCTTTTTTCCATGATCCCTTTTACGGGAGTGAATTTCCTTTCCTAGGGGCAGATTTCCTGTCACTTCCTATTTTCTCAAGGACAGGAAGTGAGATTAAATCTTTCTAATGAGGATACAGACAGCAGTAAAAACCTCACTGTGACCCAGAATAGGAAGCGTGCACCCTTCGTCTGCACGTCTAACAAGAACCAACTTCCTGTAATGTATGTACAGTACTACAAACCAGACCCAAAAAGACAGGCACTCCTTGTTGGCACAAGCATGGTAATATTACAACTACCCCTGCTGAACAGTAATAGTTTCCATTTGTAAGTAGGAGTCGGATGTATGTAACTCGAGGACTGCCTATACTTACCACTGCTTCGTTTCTGTGGCTGTTCTTGTAAATATGTACAACTATACCAGTCATTAGTCATAGGCAGAGCTGTAGCCAGCTCCTTTTGCGCCCGAGGCAAGAACAGAAAATTGTGCCTCCCAACAGACGTGTGCGGTATGTGACGTCATGCGCCCTGCCTCCAGGATGGAGTCTTTGCACATGTTACATGTCTAGTAATATGTGTGTGACTTTGTGTGTGTCTTCGTGGATAGATCTAAACAGACCCCTGACATTTCCCTTTTGAAATAGAAAAAGAGATTGAGGACACAGAGTCCTCTACCCATACAGGTGGGGAGAGCAGCTGGGATCGGAGGAGAAGCTGGAGCCTGTGCCGTTCCTCTTCTCCCTGCTAGGCCGTGGCTGTTTTGGCCGCCTGGCGCCCCTGTTGCCTATGGCGCCCTGTGCGAGGGAGCGCAGACAGTCTGGTCCTGGCTGCGCCCCCTCTCAGCTGCGCCTGAGGCGAGTGCCTCACTCGCCCCATGGGAGCTACAGCCCTGGTCATAGCCATATTATAAACCAACACCAAAACACTGCTGATGAGGGTTATTGAAATTGAGTGAAATTAATACGGCCTTACAGTGCAGTCTCTTGGCTTTAAGTTGAGGGTATACACATCCATATTGGAGGAAGGCTTTAGGAACTACAGCTGTTTAATATGTAGCCCCCTCTTTTTCAAGAGACCAAAAGTAATTGGACAGTTGACTCAAAAGCTGTTTCATGGACAGGTGTGGGCTATTCTTCATTATTTCTTCATCAGTTAACCAGGTAAAAGTTCTGGAGTTGATTCCAGGTGTGGCATTCACATTTGGAAGCAGTTGCTGTGTACCCACAACTTGCGGTCCAGTGGAGCTCTCAATGCAAGAGAAACAGGCCATCCTTAAGCTGCAAAAAAAGAAATCCATCAGAGAGATAGCAGGAACATTAGGAGTGGCCAAATCAACAGTTTGGTACATTCTGGGAAAACAAGACAGAAACTGGAGCAGCTGTGCTTGGCAACCAATCAGCTTCTCTCTTCAGTTTGTTCAGTAAAGATTTAAAAATGAAAAAGAGAAGCTGATTGGTTGCCATACACAATTGCTCCAGCTTTTGTCTGCTCCAGTTTTGATAAATTCCCCCCACTGTATGTTATCTACTTATGTACAAGTTTTCTATTGTAGCAAGCTGTGCTTTTCTTTCAGTGTTATTCTCTCAACGCTGGTAAAGCATTTTTATCAGGTAAATACTCTGCTGGGTTTGATCTGGCACTTAATGTTTGCTGATAGATTAGTGATAACTCAAATTAACCTGCACTTCCCATTACTGCCTCCCAGACAGTGAAGCAGAGATTGATGTTTTGAATTGCATATGTGACTTTCAGAACAGGGGATGATCATCCCAGGGTCTGATTCCATGTATTGAATATGTGACTTCCAAGACAGGGGATCATCATCCCAGGGTCTGATTCCATGTATTGCATTTGTGACTTCCGGGACAGGGGATGATCATCTCAGGGTCTGATTACTTGTATTGCATTTGTGACTTCCAGGACAGGGGATCATCATCCCAGGGTCTGATTACTTGTATTGCATGTGTGACTTCCAGGACAGGGGATGATCATCTCAGGGTCTGATTACTTGTATTGCATGTGTGACTTCCAGGACAGGGGATGATCATCCCAGGGTCTGATTCCATGTATTGAATATGTGACTTCCAAGACAGGGGATCATCATCCCAGGGTCTGATTCCATGTATTGCATTTGTGACTTCCGGGACAGGGGATGATCATCTCAGGGTCTGATTACTTGTATTGCATTTGTGACTTCCAGGACAGGGGATCATCATCCCAGGGTCTGATTACTTGTATTGCATTTGTGACTTCCAGGACAGGGGATGATCATCTCAGGGTCTGATTACTTGTATTGCATGTGTGACTTCCAGGACAGGGGATCATCATCCCAGGGTCTGATTACTTGTATTGCATGTGTGACTTCCAGGACAGGGGATGATCATCTCAGGGTCTGATTACTTGTATTGCATGTGTGACTTCCAGGACAGGGGATCATCATCCCAGGGTCTGATTACTTGTATTGCATGTGTGACTTCCAGGACAGGGGATGATCATCTCAGGGTCTGATTACTTGTATTGCATGTGTGACTTCCAGGACAGGGGATCATCATCCCAGGGTCTGATTACTTGTATTGCATGTGTGACTTCCAGGACAGGGGATGATCATCTCAGGGTCTGATTACTTGTATTGCATGTGTGACTTCCAGGACAGGGGATCATCATCCCAGGGTCTGATTACTTGTATTGCATGTGTGACTTCCAGGACAGGGGATGATCATCTCAGGGTCTGATTACTTGTATTGCATGTGTGACTTCCAGGACAGGGGATCCTCATCCCAGGGTCTGATTACTTGTATTGCATTTGTGACTTCCGGGACAGGGGATGATCATCTCAGGGTCTGATTACTTGTATTGCATGTGTGACTTCCAGGACAGGGGATCCTCATCCCAGGGTCTGATTACTTGTATTGCATGTGTGACTTCCAGGACAGGGGATGATCATCTCAGGGTCTGATTACTTGTATTGCATGTGTGACTTCCAGGACAGGGGATCCTCATCCCAGGGTCTGATTACTTGTATTGCATGTGTGACTTCCAGGACAGGGGATGATCACCTCAGAGTCTGATTATCTGTATTGCATATGTGACTTCCAAGACAGGGGATGATCATCTCAGGGTCTGATTACTTGTATTGCATGTGTGACTTCCAGGACAGGGGATGATCACTTCAGAGTCTGATTATCTGTATTGCAAGTTCCTTCCTGTTGAGTCTTTAGGACCAGAAAATGAAAGGAAATCGCCCCAATAGGAGATAGTTGTAAAAAAACAATGATATTGTAGCCTTTTGTTCTACAGAACGCCAACTCCCCGCTGTAGTCAAATCATAAGCTGCAGCATTCAGCACTCATGCATGTAGTGCTTTAGGTTTCCTGGTCCTTGATAAGGAAGTATGTAATGGATGAAACGTCAGCCACGGCATATAGCTTATCAACACAAATACAGTCTGATGTTTCACACGGCCTCACTGTTTAAGCATAGTGGTGATACTATTAACCTATACTAACCCTTGTGCGTTGTGTGTATTTGCAGGAGATAAATGTGCTGCAGTGGGAAATAGAGTTTGATCAGGTGAGGTTGAAGAACCTGGAGGAGTCCTGGAAGGAGAAATATGAACGGTAAGTCTATTCATCTGGCTCAGAGGTTTTGCAGGAAGAAGGAAAACAAACGTTTTAAACTTTTTAGATATTTAGTTATCAGAATAAGATATATATATTAGCTAAGTCCACCTTCCTTTACTTGCATCCTTTTTAAGGCCCCGTCCACACCTGTGCAATTTAATGAGCATTGCCCAACGCATGTTAATGCACAACAAGAGCATTGCCAACATTTTCTATGGGGCCTGTCCATTCCTGGTTTCTGCTCTGGCATGCCTTGGGAAAAGTAATACATGCTATTTTTGGTGCATCAATGCACATTTGTAGCCTCATAGACTTCAATAACAGTGCACAAAAATGCATTTTCATGTGTTTTAACACAGGAGAACAACCCCCAACCCCTAGCAAGCTCTACTTTATTTGACGTTCATTGGCTAAAATGAAAACAGATAAAAAACATGTGTCGACACACTTAAAAAATCGCACTAAAAACACTTATGCAAAAGTGTGAGCTTAGTCCATGGATTCTGTTTCTTTAATTCATGTTATTTATTTCTTTAATATTGAAAAAGAAAATGGCATCTACCCAGTCCTTTTAAAAGTACCCAGAAAGGTGCCCACTGAGAGGGGTTACTAGTTACATAGAAGACCCACTAGCGCTCAACCATACTAGGCCGCAAAGACTCATGCTATGACTAAGGCCCAGTAGGGCTGAAACATGTAAGAGGGTGTTGCTTTTATTCTTGAATGAAATAAAGATCCATTTGGAGGAGATTCCTTGTATGCCGCCATCTTGCTGTAAACTGGTGTGTCCTTGGAAGGTGGATTGTGGCTTTGCACAATTATGGTTAGGTGCGTGGTGTAATGGGAGGTTAGAGCGGTGTTCTCCAGGACTAGACCGCAAGGAGGACCCTGTACTTAAATTTACAATTAAAATAGAACAAATGTGTGCAGAAGCTGTATTAAGCTGAATCCCTTGTGCTTTTGTCTATGGGTGTATCACCAATGAAACATATAGATAAATACATTGGGTGGAATCTGTTAGAATTGGAGCAGACAGAATTTGGAGCAGTTGACCATATCAACCAATCAGCTTCTCTCTTTGTTCAGTTAAGCTTTGAAAATGAAAGATAGAAGCTTAATGGTTGCCATGGGCAACTGCTCCAGACTTTGTCTGCTCCAATTGTTATACATTTCCCCCATTGTGTGCAGATTCAACAGGAGGGTACTTCACTCTTCTTTATTGTACAGTAAAGAGAACTGTATTTAATGCAGTAACAAAGATTTGTGCATCAAACACAGCAACATTGAAACTGCTTGATAAGTAACAGCTTGTAATATGACCAATGCAGGTAATTTTCTACGCATAATATCAAGACCTGCCAAGAGGACCTGTTATATTTGCTTTTGTTGTTTTAATATAACGGTCAAGCTTCTGTATGGCCTTACATTGTCCGGCATTTCTGAAAATAATATGAAATATAACATTGCTTCAGAACATTATTGGGTGAGAGTATGAAAGCAGCTGATCTAATGATATCCCATTCAATTTACAGGCCCCTCTCTAACACAAAGGCATGTGCAATGTTTTATTACATTTTATATGTTCGTCCTCTCACTGCAACAGCTCTGGTTTTCCTCATTAAATGATTTACACAATAAATTGTCTGATTTTGATGTCTTCATTCAGGGTACATTGTGAAAACGCAGCACTGAAAGAGAGCCTGGAATTACGGACCAATGAAGTAAAAACCCTGAAAGCTGAAAACACAAGTAAGATTCTTGGCTGTGCACCGGACAAGATTAGTGTTTTGTGTTTTATACTCGTCACGTGGAATGCTCGACCACTTGTGTATTCCATTATTATTTTGCATTATGCAGAATGATGCTGTCAGATGACAGCGAACGCATTTCAATTAGAGCTGCAGCTAACGATTATTTTCAAAATCGATTAGTTAGCCGATTATTAAGTTCGATTAATCGGTTAATCGGTTAAAAAAATAAAATACATTTTACAAAATGGCTCCAGTGATGGGACTACTAGTTTGTATTGAGATTGTAGTCTATCACAGGAGCAAGCTTGGAGCGGTGGAAGTAAAAAAGAAAAAAAAAGTGTGGTGTGTTATATAGTGAAATGAAAAGTGTAAAATTATATAGCAATTAATGCAGAATGGCATCGGCTATAGAGGACTACAAAACCCAGCAATTGTACATTATACAGCGCAATGCAGAATACCACCAGCTATAGAGTACAACAAATCCCAACAATAGTACATTATAGCTGGTGGTATTCTGCATTGTGCTCTATAATGTACTATTGCTGGGTTTTGTAGTCCTCTATAGCTGGTGGTATTCCACATTACGCTGTATAATGTATTATTCCTTGATTTGTAGTCCTCTATACAGCGCAATGCAGAATACCACCAGCTATATAGGAATATAGGAATACAACAAATCCCAGCAATACATTATACATACAGTGTATAATGTATTGCTGGGATTTGTAGTCCTCTATAGCTCATGGTATAATATACAGCACTATGTACCATCAGCTATAGAGGAATACAAATCCCAGCAATACATTATAGAGCAGCATGTGTGGGAAAGTGGAGGCTTACCTGAGTCTTCCAGCAACTTGTTTCTGAGATCGGGCCTATCTATCGGCAGCTGTCATGCCCCCCACACCTCCTCCTCCTTACTTCTTTTCCCTGCGTCCCTGTGCCGATCGTGGATTTGGGCGGGCGGGCGGTGAGCGTGAGGCGTTTGAATGCGGGCGGGTCTGGCAGCGGCAAACATGAGGTGGGGAGGAGGAGGTGTGGCGTGCAGCGTGTGGAGCCGTGAACAGGGCCAACCAATCGGAAGCCGATTAATCGATGATTCAAAAAGTTGACAACTTTTTCAATAATCGATTATAATGGATTATGTCGATTTAGTTGTTGCAGCCCTAATTTCAATATAAAGTTATCATAGTACGCCATCTTCTATATTCTCCTATTGATTGTGCCTATCTCATAAAAGTGCAAACACCAGAAGGAATATATTTCCTAATGGCTTTCTAAAAACCATGGCCAGACCAGCCTATACCCTAAAGGGTTAGGAAGAGCAGAAGCAGTTTGTACTGCAATTTGTACTGCAGTTAAAATTACCTCAAATCAATCTAGATCCTACAAGAACTAAATGGTCTGTTCGAATATATATATATATGTGGCTAATGAATTGCCTAATATAAAGATAGAAATGTATACTTTACCAGCAATTTAAAATTAGTTGTCTGAAAGTCAGCGGTCACAGTTCGGAAACAAGGGATGGTCAGGTTCTCTTTAGTTCAGTTTCCTTGTACAGCCGTCCTCAGCTTCCGACCTATACCCGTAGAATGTCTTTCCTTACTGCATTGTCTTTGTTGGAATTTGGATTCTGGATCTTCTCTCTTGGCTCCTGCTACTCCCTTTATCCCCCCTGGAATGTGGGCTTGGTTTGGTCTTCCACGTGATTATTGACGTGACCCATGACGTCAGATATATAATTTTACCCGATACCTTTCCCTCACAATCACCACCAAGGGGCACTATTGTTCTATATAAAAGTTTGCAGCATTTCATTTAATTTTACTATTTTCTAAAGATCGAGTAGAAAGATAACCTCTGACCTAAGCTTTTGGAGAAAGCCATGAATATAAAAAAATGACAATAACTGATAACACCCGTCAGACTTGTAGTCTACTTAGAGATATACAACTTTAAGAAAATCTACCAAGGAAACCTCTCATGGCTGGGTAAAGTCTCGGCAGTTAAGATGACGCTTTTGCCCAAACTCCTGTATCACTTCAGAACCCTGCCGGTACACATACCCCCTCACGCCATGTGGTCACTGCAGCGGAGTATACTCCAGTTTATATGGCATCCACTCAGAGCTAGGGTAGCACGTGCTACTCTCTACAAACACAAAAAAGACGGGGGAATCAGCCTCCCCAACATTCTCCTCTATTATCGAGCCGCTCAACTTTTACCACTGATAACTATACATCAAAGTAGTGCGCCTCCTCTCTGGCTTCTACTGGAAATTCCAAACTGTTCCCCTATGCCTCTTACTGCTCTACCATGGCTACCGCCCTGTGATAGGCCAAAAAACTTAAGTCCTCTGATGGCGCATACACTGAAGGTTTGGGACTCTATTAAATATTCAGCTAACTTAATTTCCCCCTACGTCCCACTACTCCCCTTGTTTGCCCAACCACTTTTCAGGCCTGGTCTGGATAACCCTAATACTTTTGGTTGGTGGACAAACAACGGGTTTCGTATATTGTACGATTTGTTACGCTCCTCTGCCATTCCTTCCTGGCGCTATCTGAGGAAACACAAACAAATTCCGGAGACCGAACATTTCAGGTATATCCAACTCCATCATTGGATTTCCACCCTGAGTAAGAGGAGGGATCCAAACAATTTATTTACATGTTTTGAACACCTATGTCTTGAACACCTATGTCTTCACTCCCCAGAAGGCCCAAGCCTTATAACAATTCTCTACGCCCAACTGAACAGGTTGGTTAGCCATACTACCCACACCTATGTCAGAAAATGGGAAGGAGAACTACGACAACAATGGTCCTCGAAGGAATGGCAACAGATGTGGCGGAATATTGCCAAATGCTCCATCAATGTTACAAATGCCGAGGTGGCCTATAAGGTAGTAATGAGGTGGTATTTAGTCCCAGCCAGGGTGGCCCGCTTGTTCCCCACGTCCTCGAGTACTTGTTTCCGGGGATGTCAGGAAACGGGGGATATGCAACATATTTGGTGGAAATGTCCATTTGCCACTAGATTCTGGGTTAGGATTTCAAAATTTTGGGTTCTCTTTTTAGCATGTATATACCGAGGGATTTTCAATATGCTCTCTTCCACTTGTCTATACCCGGCCTAACTAAGCCTCAACGGGCCTTGGCAAACTTTATTTTCTTAGCTGCCAAGTTGACGCTGGCAGGCAATTGGAAGAAGCAACAACTTCCTTACAAGGAATTTACCAATAGACTAGACAATATCATGCTTAACCCCTTCATGACTGAGGCCCTTTTTTCCATTTTTGCACCCTTGTTATATTCCTTAAACAGAGTCCCGGCGGCAAAAGTCGCCGGGAGTCTGTTTAAACAGCCCCGATGCAGGCGACGTACACTGTACGTCGTCAGTCACGAAGGGGTTAACGAGCGCGTAGCTAGCATTCTGGAGGATAAACATTCTAAATTTCTAAGTGTTTGGGAACCATGGCTCTCATCCCATCACCCCGATATGGATCCTATGAGTTATAGAGGCATCTGAGCTGGAGAGGTAGGCAGACAGATGCGGGACAGGAGCTGGAAACAAAGAGATTTTACTACTCATGGAGATGAATGGTGGTAACAAACTATGGACCCCCAACCCCCTCTCTCCCTTTCGAGTGATGTAGGTACACCAGTCGTTACTATCACTCTTAGGACTTTTCTATCCCCACTTTTCATGTTATATGCTCTTTGGGGACCTTACCCCACTCTTGGTTAATGATGTTTCCCACATTGAACTGGTGGGGAGGTAGTCTAGTCTTAGTACACAGATGTTACACCTGCTGTAGTCATAAAGCATGATTAGGACTGTGCAACCTCCCTAACCTAAGAATGTCTAATCGTCTAATTATTTGATAAGTAGTCACTTGCAAGTGACCTCTGAAATGCTACATCCATTTACTGTAATGAAGCATTGTACACCATTTCTCTTACTATGTTCATTTTTTTAATTTTTTTTTATTTTCAATAAAAATATTGAGACAGAAAATCTACCAAGGCACTTAACAATCCTTCTCCAAATACTTTGAAAGTGAGATAATTAGTTTCAAGACACAGTGGTTTTTCATACATTATAAGAAAAGAAAATATGCATTGGCATGTACCACCTAATTCTTTGCACTTATATATAATAAATATAGTTTGGATATTATAAAAGTACATGTATAAAATTTTACTAGCAATTAGTCAATAACATAAGCATAAAGATGCTGCATATAATATAATATTATTGCTAATTATTATCACTACAATGAATAGTGAGGTTTCATAAGCAACTTTTAAATAAGCCCCATCTTCTATTCATTGAGCGAGAAAAAAAAAACAAATCTTCAAAACGTTCTGGTCTCTTGTCCATTGTACTCAATGAAAGTCATCAATCCTGACCTACATAGGCTGGCACCATCCTTAACTGATGTGCGTCTGAGACCCCCACAATTTACGACCTGAGAATGTTTATACTAACATTCCTAACTCTGCTGTGAGAGTCTTCGTCTCAAAAAGAATCAACTCGCATTGACCTTCTTTGCAAGCAGACAAAATGGCTACCAGTATGCCCATATACAAATCTGTAAAATAATATGTATAGGCCTATGAAATTGATTCCTTTCTGCCCAATAGTTCTGACATACTTACCATCTAGCCTATGTCTGTCCTCGTTACACACTTTCTGTTTCTTTTTCTTGTATTGTATTTATATCTGTTGTCTTCTCTCTCCAGTTATAAGTCAGCAGTGTCAAGAGCTGCTCGCAATGCTCGATGTGAAACATCAGAAGATGTTCCAGGACAATATGTCTCTTGATAAAAGTAGTCTGGCAGAGGTAACTGCACTGGAAGTAAGTCTTTGGTTATGAATATTATTTTAACTGACTTGTGTCTGTCCTTTCACTGCCTTGGCACAACTTTCCCATACCTACGTGAGTCTGAATCTCCATTTACTTGAGAGAACAGGAGGACATTTTATAAAGATAGGTACAGACAGAGTGGACCAGGTTGCTCTTCAGTACAGATGTTAAAATGGAGCTGCAGCCAAGACTTTTTGTTTTGTTTTTAATAGTGGTGAAGGGTTAGCATTTCTGCCTTCCACTTTCTGTCAGCACATGGAAAAGTGAGATGAAATCTCTCAAAGTGAGGGAAAATCCCACCTTTTGGCAGTGTTCACCAGAAGTGATGTTAACACTGGAAGAAATTGTAACTTTTTTTGTTTTGTTAGCTCATCTTGACATGAATTAAAGGGTCTGAAACTGTATGTATGCTTTAATATTTGCTACATCTTCCATGCTGTTTTTTCACTTTCTATTCTGAACTTGGACCCTGAAGTGAGGGGTTATTCATATTAGATGCTGCTACTTGATCGAACCTGTCTCAGCTTTTCAGTTAGTGAATCTAAACCAGACCTGGGCATTCTACGGCCCACGGTCTGTGATTGTCCGCCCGCTCACTTGAGCTCCGATATAGTGGCTGTCTGACAGTGGATGCACTGGCCTCTAAGAACATGCTACATTTATATTTGTGAAAATTATTGTACAAATGTTTTGTATTAATGTAAGTTAAACATATATTTTGTAGCTTGCTGTGCTTGGTGCTTGTACATGTACTCCTGGAGGAGAACCCTGCTCATGTGCAAAGATGTCCGCTGCAACTCGTAAACAACTGCTTCAGCTCCGAGAGGAAGTAAGTCTTAAATTTTGGCCTATTGCTGTACATTATTCTATAGTATCTTTGTGTCGTGTTTTTTTTTTGAAGATAGACTTTTTTGAAAGCCATGTATATTTCTTTTAAAAGAGGTGCAATGCGTTATAAATGCATTCCACCATCATATGTTAAGAACTCCAGTTTTGTCCATTTTGCCAGAAGGGGGGCAGGGTATAAACCCTACCTGTGTCTATAGAGCTTTTGGAAACCTCAGGAGGCAAAATGTCTCTATGGATTTTCAAGAAACACTCAGGCAAGTAAACTGGGGAATCTCTCTGATTTTAATTCTCCCCCTACCACAGGCCCAGCCATCAGCCATTGTTTCCATGTCACCTATTGAGGTGGCTATTTCTATATATTCCCATGGTTAGTGCACTAGAGCTGCATTTCTCAACCTTTTTTTATTCACAGCACTGTTTAAAAGTATGCAAAACCTCAAGGTACCCCAGTCTTAAAATATAAAAATATTTTGTGGGGCCCGTTCAAAATCCTAGATAGGGGTATGGCATGGTTGTAAAGTGGGGACCTCGCATAAAGACCTTTATGCGAGGTCCCCAGAAGCCCCCCCCCTTTCACATCAGGAGCCCCCTTCTTTACATCAGAAGCCTACTTCACATGAGTCCTCAGTCTCCTGTCCACATCAGAGTCATACCATCACACCAGGAGCTGCAGCAGCATGGCAGAGGATACAAGGTGAAGAAGGCTTGGTTGGAGGTATACTTCTGTCCTCTGTCCTTTTCTAAATGGATCCCACCCTCCCTGGATTAGTGTAATTTGTTTCCATGGTGGTGGTATGACACTTTCGAGGAAAAGGAAGGAGGAAGCCAGAAGGTACCCAAGGGTGACCTGGCGCCTTGGTTGAGGCTGCACTTGGGCAGAAGATACAGCCTTTCTCTGTCTTCACCCACTGTTAGATTGTTCAATAAGGAGCCCTCAATCCAGCAAGTGATCTTCCAGCAACTCGAGCTTCATCTTTGCTGATGAATTGAAAACTCTTGTTTTGCAGTGTGAATTGGAGAAGAAGAGTAAAGAAGAAGCCTATGTAATGGCTGATGCGTTTCGCATTGCGTTTGAGCAGCAGTTGAAGCGCAGGAATAATGACAGTCTGCCACTGAGTGACATAGAGAAGCTCTGTAAGAAAGGAAGTAAAAGAATAAACAGCTGGAGACGTCTTAAAGAAGATGGTAATACCAATCTTGGGCAGGACACTATGCACAATGTATCATCTATATTATCTAATATATTGTAGCATTCCATTCATTAGGATAGATGCACATGTGTGCAATGTTTTCTCTTTACTTAAAGAGGCACTGTCACTTTTCCCATTATGGGCAAAGCAACAGTGTGTCTCCTGATATCCCAAACTCCCCAATTAAAGTATATTGATCGATCCACACACCACCATCGCTTGCCCAGAAGTCTAAGCTCCAGTGTCACAGCTTACCCAAATGGATGATGTCATTGCCCCTCCTTATGTGACAGTGTTCAGGCCTTGATTGGCTGCTCAAGGCTGAACACTGTCCCATGAGGATGGTCACATGATCCCTCGTGTCTGGAAGCCCTGCTCCATTAGAACACTAGAGGTAGGGCTCAGATGGAGCTGGGTGACATCAAATGAGTGTGGATTGGCGAATATGCTCTTTCACAATGTCTCTTTTAAAATACAGTTTTGCTAATTAGTTGCCTTGTATAATGTTATAATTAATGTGCACTTAAAGGGTTCCTAAACCCTCCGGTTTTTTTTGCATATATTTACTGCTAACACAAAAAATAGGGCTTGCTCTATTTTTTGCATTTGCAGTGGAACCCAACGCTGGCAAACTTTTGCCGCGCTTCCAATCGCACTGCGGGCAGGGGGGGCATGGTAGCGGTGCCATTGAATTCAATGCACCGCCACGCCCCCTCCCGCCCCAGAACGTGGGGGGAAGTTTCTTAGCGATTGCGGTGCATTCCAGCAGCTACCGCTCTGGAACGCACACGCTTTCGGTGTGAACAAGCCCTAAAGCTCAGTGAGAACAACTTAAAGTAACACTGAACTCAGGCGTTAAATCTTAAACATGCATTCAAGTACCTTAACTATTAACAAAAATGTATCTTATTTGTGTATCACTCGTCTGTATATCCTCAAATCATCTCTGAATTGGTGCTGACACTGTCCTTCCTTCTGGAGGGTGGTTACTATTGTTTCCCATGATTCCTGTGTGTGTTGTAAAGTAGCCACCCAGATAAGTGACAGTCAGGAGAGAGAGCAAGGAAAAAAATGACCTAAGGATTTATGTGACCTCAATAGGTTTCTATATATTTTCGGATTACTTGCATTTATATATTATTAAGGACTGTTCTTGTTGCCTGCAGGAAACAACCGGTTTCCCTTTCATTCTCCTCTGTTTCACTTGGAGCCTTGTGTATCAACTTGTTCTTGCTCAGAGTAGGAGTTATTTCCTATGGCCACCAGTAATATTCAAACTAGGATAGCCGGTCTGATGCTGATTGATGGTGAAGAGAACTTTGATATATAAGGTTGTTATAGCATATTAAGGTCAGGCATTCCTCACACACTTTGATAAATAAGTGCATGCATAAGATGCTTTGGTGCTTGGTGTCTTCCTAATTGCTAAATGTCGTTTTTTTTTGTTTCTTTTTCTCTTAGGGTATGTGCTGGAAAAAACGAAGAACATGACTTTGGGTCAGAAATTGAAAAGCATGCTGATCTCTTCTATTGACAGCACACATTTAGATGCAGCAGATGACCCACAAAAGGTCCTCGCAGTGTTAATTGACCTTGTGAGTGGGCAATAACATGGTTACCATTGTATATTATTTGTATATGTAAGGAACATGCCAGTATTGCGCTCCAGATAAGAGCTTGGTTTGGCAAAGGTTGGTTTTAACAGACCTTCATTTTAGTCATCCACAGTACATTTAAAGTTGAAGATTAATCTGCTCATGATTTCTTCTTCTGTGCTGCAGGATGGGAACATATACAATGATTGCTTTGCAGAGAGCTGCTGGTTTCAGGTTTTGAAAACCACTTGAGTGCCTTTAAACATTTTAATCAAAATGTAATCAATCTAATAAAGCCTGAAATTCTTTATATGCCAGGTAAAGTGAAACTATCTCATTAAGTATGAAATATCAAAGGAGAAGTATTGGAGGAGTAAAATGTACTCTTCCCAATACTTAGAATCCGCATGCGGCACTGCAGCTGTCACACACCGGCTCTATAGATTTGAGAGCTGAGCAATCACAAACCACTGATCGCTCAGCTCATGGTCAGTCACTGCTTCCCACAGGGATTCCCCTCTCTATTCTTCCAGCAGTTTGAGGGACAGACAGTAGAGGGGGTGGGCTGGCTCTAGAGAGGCAGAGCTAGCTGTCATCCAGCCAGCAGACTGGATCTCATCAATATTGTCAGGTAGACTGAAAACACGAGTGCACAGCTCACCCCTATCATGCGTCCCCGCAATCCACATACGGTGCACGGATGACTCTCTTCTGGAGTGATAGGCTCAAAAACTGTGGAACCAGCACACAATAATCTTCCAAAGAAATTCAAACTTTATTCCACATGCATCTATACAAAGCACAACTGCTGACCAAGCGATTGTGCTTTGTACAGATGCATGTGGAATAAAGTTTGAATTTCAAAGTTTGTCAGGATCTTTCCTAGTTTAAGGCTCTGTTCACACCTAGGCATATCAAATATGTGCGTTTGTCGCGCGTTTCGTGACATGCGTTTTTACAGCGATTTCCGAGGGCTACTTGGCTGTATCCCAATGGAAACGCGCAACAAAAACGCAGCAAAGAAGCTCATGTACCTTTTCAGGCGTAGGCCGTTTTGTAGCGCGTTCAGACGGGCTGAAATATGGCAAGGTGTGAACCATACCCATAGAAAACAATGGGATTTTCATGTTTGAGCGTTTTGTAGAGCGTTCGTAGAGCGTTGAACGCGCTACAAAACGTAGAGGTGTGAACCAGGCCTTAAAGTTTGTCAGGATCTTTCCTGGCTGTAGCGTAGCTCTGTGCCGTCAGCAAATAGTGGGCAGTAGCCCACTAGATGCTAACTTTGGGTCACAAATGAGAACTAAAGCCTAAAAAGTATTTTAACCCTTTCGCTGTCAAGCCCTTCGGAACGCTTTAAACTTCAGATGGCCACACCATTTTTTGAAATTTTTCCCATTCTTTTGATTTTATATTGCTTTGTTCCTAGCGTTTGTGAAAGACCCCCCAAACCATATATTTTCTGAAAGTACAAGCCTGGTAGAATAAAAAGATGGTGCTGCTTATTTTGTAGGCCCTGTGATAACTGCGCAAATGTTTATCAAATCAACCGATAAAATATGCAATTCAATTTATAAAGCACACTAAAATTCGTATCGAAATCTAAAAGATAAAACTATTGAGTTCATAAATAACAAATATTTGTAAATTTTTAAATTGCGCCCTTTTTGCGAAAAGGTAAAAAAATTAAGGAGCATAAAACTAAATAAACAACTTAAGTTAAAAATCATTTGTGCACTGTGTTGGTGTTTGTGTTGTGCTAAAATGATACAGGCATACATTTAATTGCAACACAAGGCATCACAACGCACAGCAATGTGCCACAATGCTTTGCCATGCGCTGACACAGTCAAATTTAATGTTATTTTTAAAAAATCAAGCGGTGTGTTCTTACAATGCACCGCAGCACATGTGCATGGTGTACACCTACATCTAAACAGACCCCTGACATTTCCCTTTTTGAAATAGAACAAGAAATTGAGGACGCGGAGTCCTCAATCTCTTATTCTGCAGCCTCAGCACTCAATGAATGGAAAGCACTCAGTACAGAGGCTTCCCGTTCATAACTGGTGATGGTAAAACAAATATTTGTTATTTATTTACTATTCTCCAGTTTATGAATGGGTAGAATCCTCTATGCTGAGGCTTCCACCTAATGAGAAACTCATGAATGAGCAGCAAGTGATGTAAAGCATCATGTATGTATGTATGTGTCCCCAGTTGTTTACAAACATTGGTGTGATCAGATGATCACTCCAGTGTTCGCACTGCACAGAGGATTGGTAAATGCTACACATTTACCTATCCTCCTGCTCAGCCATCCGACCGGCTCGGCCACACACAGATGAAAGAGCCGCTGGCGATCCAGGATTTGACAGCCAGGGGCTCTGATCTGCACATTGCTCGGCCATCCTGAACATTTGGCTCCCTCCTCCGCCCCCCCGCTGGCCATTTCTCCTCCTCCTGCTGCCTCTGCCCATACAGGCCACGGGAGAGCAGCAGGCATCTGAGAAGAAATAGATCCCAGCCTGGAGCGGCTGCAGATGCCAGAGGTGGGGTGCCCCCCTGAATTTTTGTTAATAGCTCTCATAAGCGGCTTATCAGCTGCGAATGACAGCTATTAATTTAAAGGGGACTGTCGGGTGAACCGTTCTCCTATAAGTTCATGCTCGTTAAAGCGACCATCGGCTTATAGCAGAACGGTAAAAGCCACCGACGTATGGCATGCTTATGTGGCCAGCTGTAAACAGTTGTGTTCTGTCGTATGCCATACGTCGGTGACAGGGAAAGGGTTAAAGCAGTGGTTCTCAACCTGTGTAACCTCGGGACCCACATGTTTCCTTGGTTTGACATTATGAGGTTCCCGCAGGCTGAACCACAAATTCCCCTTCCAGTTCTCTCTAATGCAGATGGGCCGGTCTATGCAGTCATGACGCCGCGACCCACTGCAGAGGGTGTCGCGACCCACTTTTGGGTCGCGACCCACGAGTTGAGAACCACTGGGTTAAAGGAAAGTAGGAGTGATGTCTCCTGCTATTAAATTTTAGATATCATTTTGTAGTGTGGGTATAATGTGAAAACTGACTTCCCATTGCCTTCTACCTGTAGCATATAAGCCACATTCTAAACGTTGTCTTTTATTTTGATTGGATTTGCAGCTTAATGATAAAGAGGAAGCTCTGGCTCATCAAAGGAAGGTTAGCTACATGCTTGCCCGGACTATAGAAGACAAAGTGGAATCTTCAGCAAACCATAAGAAAAGTTCTTCTCAGAAGGAGTTTGCTGCTATAAGTGACAATCATAATTGCTTTGACACAGAAGTTCCATGCCTGTGTGTACCTAATACCACGTCAGATGAAAGCCACGGCACAAAGCAGGAAGCACTTAGGTCTCTGGAAACCTCATTTTCTTTGCTGCTAAAGGATGTTTATCCCCAACAAAAACACAATGATAAAAGCTCCTCGGACCAAGGGACGCAACCGAAGGAAGAAGAGTCTCAAACATAATGTCTATAAAATATTGATGTGTTTTTATGATGGTGATTATTGATTTCAGGACTCAATAATGTTCTTATAAAATTGTTCAAACTGTCAAAAAAAGCCAGAGGAAAGTCTACCTAAAACATACAGCGTAAAGTTGGGTAGTTTTCCAACAGAACCCCTGACTTGTTCAAAGTCTCCAGTGCTCTTACAGAATTCAAGTTCATCCCCCTCATCTACATGACATTTCTGTCTAAGCGTTATGCTAAATGGTGATGTTACTCTGGTTACTAATTTACAAAAAGGCCGTACATAAAGGGCTCAAGGTAAGAATAGGGAAGGTAAACCTATAACCTCAGTGCATGGAGTTCCCTGGGTCACTACTGTTGGGTATTCTTACCTGCCTACTGCCTAGGTCCTCAATGAGTAGTATAAAAAAAGCAAAATTCTAACTGCACACTAAACCTTTTTTTATGGGTTGCTAGAGTTCTAAAGTGCAGTGAAATAAATGTAAACTTCAATAATTTGGACAAAATGGTTCTAATGGTTGGTCACCAGAGCACTAAATAGTGTCAACCAGATGTGCGGTTATTACTTGATCTGGCAATTAGAAAGACTAAACAGAAAACAAACACATACAGCCTAGTGCATTAAAGTGACACTAAACTCAGGGGCTAACCCTTAAAAATACATTCAAGTACCTTAACTGTTAACAGACATGTATCTTATCTGTGTATCACTCGGCTGTAGATCCTCAAATCATCTCTGAATTGGTGCCGACACTGTCCTTCCTTCTGGAGGGTGGATACTATTGTTCCCCATGGTCCCTGTGTGTGTTGTAAAGTAGTCACCGCTCCAAGCTCGCTCCTGTGATGGACTACAATCTCAAGTTTTGTTTAGTAATTTGTATTGAGATTGTAGTAGTAGTAGTACTTTAGTACTACTGTAATACTTTACACCACACACAGGGACCGTGTGGAACAAAAGTATCCACCCTCCAGAAGGAAGGGCAGTGTCGGCACCAATTCAGAGATGATTTGAGGATCTACAGCCGAGTGATACACAAATAATATACAGTTTTTGTTAATAGATGAGGTACTTGAATGTATTTTTAGGATTTAACTCCTGAGTTTAGTGTTACTTTAAGCATAATGAACTTTTTAATAGTTAAAAACAAGATTATTGTATTCGCAAACATCCAGTACAGAAGTGCATGTTACAGCCAGCAGAGCAGGTGTTATTCAAAGCCGGTTGTGGCCTGTGGCGTTGATAAGAAGGAAAATATTCTACAGCACGAAATTCCAGTATGTGGAAGAGTCAGTAAAGGCAGTGGTGGCTTAATGCACTATATTGTGCACGCTGTGTGTTTGTTTTAGGTTTATGGATTATAAAAATGCTTTTACCTTTATACTAGAACCTTTGTTTTTAATATACCTTTGTTTTATATATTTATTTTGTTATACAGCCTTCACCATTCTTATGACAAAAAAAATGAAAGTGTACATTTGCATCAAAAGGTTATGACTTCAGTAAAATATGTAAATTGTATTAATTTTTATTAATTTCAGGAAGTTCATTTTGTTGTTGTGGCTAACATTTTAAAAGACATTGGCAAGAAAATGTAAAAAGGGGGCACATTGCAAGTGTAGCACTTACCACCGAAGGAGACGCTGAATATGAACTAGGGTTCTCCTACCTGTTTTGCCAGCCACTGGCCCCTTTCTCAGCTTCAGCAACACCGACACTCCGGAACAGAACAGGCGGCTCGAGTCGTAGGGTCTTTTTAACATTTATTGCACAGGATCAACTAGGAGAAAGGGTTTGGGATTGCAGGATACCCGAGTAACAATTTGGAGAACTGTCTTCTCCCTTAGCAATGGCTTGTATCAGTAGCACAATGGTCCTGTAAGAGCGACCAGCAATATGAAGTAGCACAGACAACAGCCAGGAATGGTCCAGGACTTTTCAGGAGAACAGTCACTGGACTTGTAGTGCACCAACTGGCTTCTCTTCAGTAAAGTGCCTGAGAATAGGGTGAGGGATCTCTTATAGGGTTCCAGACGGTAGCTCTCACCAGCTCCTCTGCGACACTCCTCGATAAGCAGATTCAACCTCCAGCCCAGCTTCCATCAGGTTCCTGTCCAATAGCATCTAAGGTCTCTGGGCCCCCAGCATCTGCCACATGCTGAGGCCCAGGCCAGGCATCAGTTTATGGTTAGCTTTAGATTAACCAAGAACATGATTAGCATGTTATGACTTTAACCCTTTAGCTGCCACCGCCGTAATGCATACGGCGGAACAAAACTGTTCCCAGCTGGCCGGGTCAGTATGCCTTACGGTGCTGGCATTTACAGTTCTGCTATAAGCGCATGGTCGCTATAGCAACCATGAACTTATAGCAGAACTGTTCCCCTGACAGTCCTCGTTAAATGAATAGCTGTCATCAGCGTTTCGCAAGCCGCTGATGACAGCTATTAACAAAAATTCTGGGCGCCCCTCCCGCCGGCACCGTTGTTGATGGCTGCCGGCATGTTCAGCTTCTGATCCCTGCCTGAAGCCGCTCCAGGCTGGGATCTGTGTCGGCATGGATCCCTGCTGCTTGTAGGGGCTGTGGCAGCGGGGATCCGAATCGAATCGTCTGATCACTCCAGTGTTTGTAAATAACTGGGGACACATAGTACGAATGAACAGGATATGATTCACATCACTTCCTGTTCATTCATGATTTTCTCAATGAGGAGAAGCACTCTACAGAGGCTCCTCCCCATTCAGAACAAAAAACACAAAGGAAGGAGCGCTACTACCTGGAAAGCTACTATAAATGGGTGATGGGAGCACAAACACAGACTCACTGTTGGATGGAGGCAATGATGATCCTATGATGGAAGAAGAGCTGTGTATTGACATCAATGGAAGCGTGTATGTCGTATATATGAAGAGTGGTGGTCGTGGAGAGAATATCCGTATGGTGACACAGTGTGTAAGGGAAACTGGTTGGTCGGTTTTTCAATGTGGCAGGAGTGCCACAATGTGAAAAAAATGAGCTGCCGCGCTCAGCTGGCCAGGCTGAGTAGAAAGTGTTCGTGCCGACCGGCAATTACAGTGGATGATGTAATTGTCCAGGGGACAAAGTGATCAACGATACAGGGGGTAACAGCGAGGTGTAAATTGCAATCCTTGATGTAAGACAGGGTGAGAGAACTCCAAATGGCTACGCATTTCGAGGCACCGCCTCTTTGTCAAGCCTGGATCGATAGTACAGAAGGGATAGCGGGAAAAGCGGGAGTCATTTAAAAATGACAGCTGGGCGGTGTAACCAGCTGTCTGGCTTCGTGATTGGTGGAAAACCGAAGGGGGAGGAAATCAATGTTCAACGGGACGCCCCCACAGGTTTCAACAACTGGTGGAGTACAGTCTCTGGCCACGGATACGAATGAAGATAAAATAACACCTTTTAATGTAAACAATTAGCGGAAAAAGACATGAATGGTACTTGGGTGAGGATCATGGTGTGGGTTGACTAATGATACATAGAGATCGTGTTTATCCAATGATTGTATCATATTGCAGGGATGGTGGAACCCTCCACATGAAAATGTGACAATAAAGGTCGGTTTCTCCCCATTCAGAAACTGCTTGATAGTAAATATTTTACTATCACCAGTTTCTGAATAAATGGGAAGCCTCAGTACTGAGAGCGTCCCATTCATTGAGTGCTGAGACTGCAGAAAAAGAAATTAAGGACTCTGTCCTCAATTTCTATTTCAAAAGGGAAATGTCAGGGGTCAGACCCCGGATATTTCCCAAAGCCCCCCAACAACAATAAAAAAAATAAACTAATGTAAAAAATAAATAAATTATGAAAAAATAAATACATTTGAAAAACGAACTAAAAAAAATGGAATGAAAAAAATGAATTAAAAAAACCCAAACCCCCCCCCCCCACACATAACATACATGTACGCCATGCACATGCACTGCAGTGCGTTTTTAGAACGCATCACAGTGCATCATTTATTGCAGAAAAAGAAATGGGGGACTCTGCATCCTTAGTTTCTTTTTCTGTTGCAAAAGCAAAATGTCAGAGGTCTGTTCACAAAATGTTAAAAAAATTATTTTTTTAAATAAATAAAACATTTGTAAACATAACATACACATGCACCATATTGTGGGGTATGCCATGCACATGCGCTGCAGTGCGTTGTTAGAACGCATCATAGTGCATTATTTCTTTCTTTAAAAAAACACATTAATTTAACTGTGGCAGTGCATGGCAAAGCTTTGTGACGCATTGCCATGTGTTGTGATACCTTGTGTTGCAATTAAATATACGTCTGTATCATTTTATCACAACACAAACACCAACACAGCGCAAAAACAAATTTTAACATAAGTCGCTTATTTACAGTTTTGCGTACCGTCATTTTTTTATCTTTTTGCAAAAAGGCACAATTACAAATTTGCTAATATTTGTTATTTATTAACTCAATACAGTTTTATCTTTTAGATTTAGTCAGAAAATATTTTTTTTGTGCGCTGATACTGATTTGTGCTTTATCAATTGAATTGTGTATTTTTATCGGTTTAATGTTAATTTGAGAAACATTTGCGCAATTATTGCAGGGCCTACAAATTTAGTAGCACCATCTTTTTATTCTACCGGGCTTGCGCTTTCAGAAAATATATGGTTTGGGGGGTCTTTTACAAACGCTAGGAACGCAGCAGTTGAAAATCAAATCAATGGGAAAAATTGCAAAAATGGTATGGCCAGCTGAGGTTAAAAGCGTTCCGGAGGGTTTGGCA